GGGAAAGAGCATCCTGAAAAGCGTTCTTTTCTTTCTGGAGCTCTTACAAATACGTAGGAACGCTATTTTGCCTTTCTAGCTCTTGCCTTTACCTGTGGTTTGGTTCTTGATGGTTTAGAGGGGGAGCTGCATCCCCATCCTGTTCTGCCTGGTGTGTCTTCAGAGGAGGGCCTGAAAAAAGGAACAGCAGCTTGCCAGCTCCTCAACAGCCATAGCTGGTAGTTCAAGCTGTTTAACTTACCTTGCATACGCTTGACATCAGTATGCTGCCCCAGAAACTAGTAGGTAAGAAGCCTACTAGTTCCTACTAGTTGCAGCTCCTGCTGCAACTCTTACCCTGGCTATTACTTCAGGGAAACAGGCAGGATAGGTCCCTGGAGGCATTAGCACGTTATCCCACTACAGCAAACACTGCAGCCCACAGAAAAATAGGAAATCATGATGTGAAAGAAGGGATCTGAGCTAGAGATCCTTTCCTGAGGGCATTCTTATGTAGCAGCAGCAGCAGCATTTTGTTCACTCTTTGCTTACATTTCAAGTCTCTGCCTCAGATAATCATGGAGAACTTATTCTTCCTTTATATCTTCCATTCACCCTGAAAGAGGCAGGAAGGGGACGTTTTCAATAAAAAATAAATTGCTGGACAGTTGCTTGAGGGAGGGAGAAACTAGATTGAGAGGCTGACTTTTCAGAAGATAAAACACAGCCCAAAAGCGTATACTACTTCAGGTGGACTGGGATACTGAGAGAAAGCACATACTTGTCAAAGCTTCTCTTACACAGTGGTCTCCAGCACAAAAAGTCTGGAGAAAAATGCAGTCAAGCACAGAGGAGGAGTCCTTCACGTTCACTACCTGTAGGAAGAGGAGTAAGATTGTACTTGGAAAACTTTTTGAAGCATTACAGAAATATTCATCCTGCTGTGTGCTGGTGCTTGGAAAAGCATCATGATCTTCCTTTAACAGGGAATTTGTCTGGGAAGTGAGGGAAAATAAAATTCTGCCTTGAGGCATTATCTTGATGCTGTGTTAATTTCCTTTGAAGCACTGAGAGGATATCTTTTTACTTTTCGCCTGCCGCTGCCCGTCATGCTGAAGTCTTCCAATTAAAAGATAATAATTATTAAAAAATTCTTCCTTTGCATGTGCTGGATCTGCTATTCTCCATTCATCCCTATAGACTATGAAAGGGAGCAAGATCAAAGGCACAGTTTATAGCTGCCTTGTTAATCCCAGGAGTATTTTATCACATAAATTAGGAAGGGACAGTGGAAGGAGTCTAATCCCTCCATGCTGCTTTGGATTTTGACATTAAACACTCCTCAGTTGCTCTGCTAGCTAAAATCTGCTATGCTATTGGAAAGTGATTATTGCAGTCATGTCTTGCAATCAACTGTGACCCATGAAAAAAGCCCTACAAAGTGTGTATTTAATCTAGGAAAACATATTAGGAGAAAACTCAAGAGCTGGCAGAACAAACTGTTGTTGTTCTGTTTTTTTAACTGACTTAATGGAAATGTTTCTTGGTCATGGAAAATGCCAAACTGACAAGAGGATGATTTTGTGTCTAAGGCATGAGACCATGATCAGGATAACATGGGCTCAGTTCCAGATTTCTGCCAGAGATATATTTGCAGGAAACGAGTATAAATTCTTAGACAGTCAGCTCCTCGTCTTTAAAATGGGAGTGATGGCATTGCCTGACTTCCTGGGTTTATGATGATGACTCCATTAACTCCTGGAAGTCACGCTCAGGCATTTTCTGCACTTTTATCTTTGCGTTCGGTACACCCACCACTGCTTCCAGCCTCACAAGGCGTTTCGGCTGTACAGAGAATTGGCATTTAGTCTAGATGCATTTTATTCCAAAACACAGCATCCGTAAGGGCTGAAAGAAATAGTGTGTGTTTATTTTAACCACCAAAGATTTCTAAAAAGGATCAGGAGGTAGATCTTGTACACTCTGGAGTCTCTGTTGCCCAAGCAAACCCTTACAGGCAATAGATTCAAGAAGGAAATGAAGAAGGAAAACAGAGCATTCTTCCCCTCCTGCATAAAACACAGGCATTTTTCACCTCTTGCCCTAGGGATACAGTGTGAGTTACCGTATATTATGTACTACCGTATGTTACAGCTATATATTGGAGACTGAAATACGGCAGGAGCACTACAGCTATACGTTTCTTCCAGAAGAGAGGACTAGACTTATGTGGTGGTACAAGTGAGTGCCTTCTGCCATCTCTAAAGACGCATAACAGCGCTCTTAATTCATTCAGGCTTCCACAATAATGCTCATAGAATTTGATTGTTTTTCAAAGCCATTTGCTCCCTTGCCACGGATTTAGCGTTAAAGGCCTCCATAGAAATCATAAAAGAGAAAGCCTATTCTCTTCTACACAAAATATGTGTGATTCAGCTGTAAAATGCTTGTTTTGTTCACTGTATTGCTGTTAAAATATAATGTATTAGAAAGTTGCTTTTGTGCTCAAAATGCCACTGGCAAGGCGGAAGTTTCAGGATCTTTGTTGCACTTTTAAATGTACTTTCTAGAGTATGCCTACGTAGAAGCCTGTATGAGAGGAACAGTATTTTCAAACTGTGAACAAGAAACATCTGTCATACAAAGATGTATCAATCAGTCAGGTGCATCTGAGTGGCTTTCTTTTTCTTTCGTATCCAATATGCCTAGGTTTTGCTGTAGATCTTTTTTTTTCCACCCAGGGCCTTTATAACCATTTCCAAAAAAAAAGAATAGTTATTTAATAAAGTCTTTTGAAAACTTTGAGGGGCTTGCAGTTATTGCCATTTGTTCAGCTCAGTTTCATTTGAAGGAGAGCTCAGAATATCTGCACATGTATTAGTTTAAGGGAGTCTCAAATCTCAAATCTCATCAGTATGCGCAATAAACAACTACAGGGAAGACGAGAGAAAGTTGCCAAAAGCTGCTTTTGAGTGCGTTTGGAAAGAAGCTAGTGGTTTGTCTCCTACCCAGTGGCAGGGGGGGTGGGTTGGTTGGCAAAATCAACTTTCTAAACCGCAACAGAGAAGTCGTCCAGATCTCTGAAGTCGTACATCATTAGAGCTTGGCCCCTGCCTGCAAGGTCAGAAGCTGTGGAAAACAAACACTAGAGACAGCAGTTCAGGGAACTGCAGCGTTCTTGATTTTGTTTTTGTGTGGTCACACTGTTTGTCCTTGTATGTCTTTCTCCTTCTAATAACTTTTGAACATATTGAACAATATCAACCAGCTTTGTTTGAGAAAACGCATGTACACATTAGGACCTGCTGTTAAGCGTGTACTATGTAGCTAGTCAGGAGGTGTGTAGAGCTTAGCTATTTGACACAGATGGATCCATAGGCCAGGCTCTGTATGAAGCTCAGAGTCTTGTTGAGAGGGTAGCAAGGGGACAAACGCCAGAGCTGAGCATACCGCCTGAAGAGGAAGAGGACTGGAAGGAATGCAAGGCAAAAAGGCCAAGATATGCATGAGAGAGGAGCTTAAAGTAATGACACTAGGACAAAAACCATGAATGTAGGCTTAGTGGCGCTTCTACTTGTTTCCTTTGACTACCGTTCAGCTGTTTTGGGACTAATCTTAATTTTAATGTGGAATGCAGAGTCATGTTAAGTTGTCACATCAGGATTCAATAAACAAAAGAAGAAGACAATCTGAGGATCATGCAGGCATGCTCCACTTCCATTTCCCTGCACATACTCCTTGACATCGTGTTGCTTGCAGTGTTTGTGAGACCTGGCAGGAGAGAGGCTTATGTGCTGAGCAGCAGCTAGGACTGCTTGCACGGGAAGCCCCGCACCTGAAGGGATCTATTTTGTCTCAGCAGCAAACTAAGCTCTTCCTTTTCTTCTGATGTGGTGCCTGTGTATGTGACTGTCTTGTGTTCTTCCTTCTTTCTCTCTCTCTCTCTCCTACCGTGATGGATGTCCTGCATTCTGCTGTGTGTAGTCCCACATGTGTCTGTGTCTATATTAATAAATGCAGGAGTACCTGAAAAATGTTCCTGAGCATGGGCACACAGTTTTCTCCTCTGCTGAACTGTTAGCCTCATCCCTGGCAAGCACTGGGCCCATGTCAACTTGCCAGTTAGAAGCCTCCCAAAAAACTCCCAGGCATGGCTGAGGAGTTAGACACCCAAGCTTATATTGGAGCTTGGGTGTGTTGAAAACTGTGTGCTGCCTAACCTCATACATGCTATGCAGAACTGTGTTTCAGGAAAAAGAAGGCATCAGCCCTTTGAAAAAATTATCTGGGCAGCCAAAATCCCCTCTCCCCAAATCTGTACGATCTAGCCTAACTAGTATACAAACCAGTCCCTGCCTTACTCCTGAAAATCTGGGCAAACTGCTTGAGCTCCCTGGGTTTTCAAGGCTGCAGAGTGAACACGTTTGTTTTTCCTCCTTGCAGTTCGAACATGTCCCAAGCTTCGGGCTCCTGAAAACGGACGCATTAATTGTTCAACATCTGATACCTCCTATAAGACGGTGTGTTTTGTGGCCTGCAATGAGGGCTATGAACTAGAAGGAAACACCAAACTGACCTGCCAGGGAAACTCACAGTGGGATTCAAAGGAGCCTAAGTGCATGGGTAGGTATCTAACTGTACTGCCTCTGTTCATGTCAGAGTGTGGCCTTTAGTGGCATGCACGAGAAACTAACCTTATTTTAATATCTGGTGGAGCGAGGTAAGAATGAGGATATGTCTGTGGATGTTATAACAGGCTTTACAAGTTGGGGAGGAGCAAAGGAATTTGTAAATGGAGAAGGTGTCGAGATTATGGTTGAAATCCAGCACAAACAGCTGATAACCAAAAGGTCGGTCTCATCTGCTGGCTCACTACATGTTGTAGCAAACAGAGCTTGTACTACAGATTAAATACGAACCAGAGGATTGAGTTAAAGATGATCTCTGGCCAAAGACTAATGTGTGTTAGCCGGACACTGTGAGTGCTGAGTAGAGTTGCGGCTTTGACGCTTTCGCTGAACTCGCAACAGGAGGTAAGAGTTGAGAGACATTAGGGACTAAACACCTCTGATGCAGGTTTCCGAGTTCATACTTAACTGTACAGCAATCAGTAAGCATGTACTGCTCTTTCTGACTCTCCCTCTTATGTATATAAAGGATTGCAGATTTCAGGACACTCTAACAGGTACTAAATTCACTTTAAAAGGTAAGGGGAAGAAATACAGTTAAAAAATGCTCTGAGGACAGGCTGCCAGAAAGAGATGACGATCTTAAAGCCCAGCATTTCAGAAACTGAACTGGTGCTTACAAAAGGCCAGGGTGAAATACATGTCACCAGCGTCCAGTAATGTCACTCGTATCCAGTACATGTGATGTCAGTAGGTGACTTTGATTGGACTTTTGGCTATTTGTACTGCTTAACCCCAGGATTAAAAATGAGGACTTTGCATGAGACAAGACTAAATTTCTAACTGTAGATATATTCTCCTAGAATTATGAAAATAATCCACAAGTATTAATTTATCAGGAGAGTTCATTAAGAGATCCTGATCTTTCTTCTGTTGAAGTCAGTGAAAAAAACTTCAATTAACTTCAAAAGGAAAGGAGCCCTGAAATCCCGCCGAAAGATTATAATTAGAAGATTTATTGTAATAATCAGTTGAATCCATGCTTCCTAACTTAACATTTTGATTATTAAAATCCAGCTGCACTCTATATCAAAAGATTTCTTCATACCCTCCAGTATTGCTTCCATTCCTAGATTACCCATGGCAACGTCTCATTTTTGCTGAGTTTGAGTGTCCAGTAAGAAAGTTAGCTTTGGTTGTCCCAGAGGGAGAAGTGTATACTGGGAAAATCATGACTGCTGTGCAGAACAAGCTTGCCTAAATTGCTCATCGTTATAGTTGTGTGGAGTTTCATTCATGGAAGGATGCAAACCAGAAGAGTCTCTCATAGTATGTCCCCCAACAAAAGTGTCCTTTTACTCATTTTCAAAATGTTTATTATTATCATGGAGACATTCCCCATTTATTTCTAGACTGAACAGTTTCTCCCATTTATTTCTAGACTGAATAGTTTCTAACTATCATTTATCATCTGCTAGATGAAAGAAAGCAGAAATCCTTCCATATTTAGGTGCTTGTAACTGCTGATTTATTCATTTCCTACTCTTCTGTTAGAAAAATGAGGTGGATTAAGGTTCAGTCTCCCACCTTGAGGCAGATATTTTGGATGTCAGGGTACCCTCTGAGGTTTTTTTTCTGAACCCTTTCTGGTTTGAGTGGACATCAGTTTACCATTTTTAAAAGTTATCTCACTGACACCGTACTACAGCCCTCCGTAACCATAGCTGACGCCGTATCATAACATAGTCTGCATTGTTTACATTTGCTTTTGTAAAGTCTGTTGTCATATGCATCTTTTTACAGAAAGAATGGAAGTTAATGCAAGTTTGTCTCTTACGTGTATTTTTAATTCCGATTTTTTTCCATGGAAGATGGTATTTGCAAGGAGTTACTTCTGAGCAGGTTACATTGTGTTGTAGGCTGTGCTTAAAAACAATATATCTTGTAAAACAAAGAGGCTTTGTCATTTGTCCAAGCTGGAAAAAAACCTCTACTTTTATATGCTTTTGTAATTTCCCTATTGTACTTCGCTAATGAAAGTTTAATAGCCAGAACTTTTAAGTTACAGAATTTTGCAAATTATTGTTCTCCTTGCTTTGTTCAAGGGTTAGTGAAGAAAGGTAAGAGACCAGATGGCATCAAGGATATTGATGCCATCTAGTGTTGAAAAATTAATGTTCCACACTTCAAATTGTGGTTGGCCAGTTCTTTTCCCTGATCCTCTGTTGTCGTTGTGGGTTTGAATGAAAGAGGCATGATTTGCTTGGCAGTCCTTTCTTTAATTATTGCATTCAAATGCATCTTGATGATGATGAATTATAATATACTGCTGTAGTTCATCACGGGCAGTTGCAGACAAAAGCAGATTCCTGTCTCTCCTTGGAAGTTTTTTTTTCCTCTACCTCAGTTAATTCCCTATCTGTAAGACTAATATCATGGATATCACTCTGCTTCTCATGAAATCCAGACTTTCTGGATCAGCTTTATCAAATTCTGTAATGAGAACAGATAAAAGAACCAAATAGCACTGTTACAACTTACTTCTGGTAAAGATCTGTCCCACTGAGAAGAGATTCTCTAGAACTGGAAGTGCCAAAGGTTATTCTGAATGTTTGTTGGATGATTCAGGGTTGTGTCTTACTAGGATTTCGGTGGCCTAGCTGGAAGCATCCCAACCAGGAGGACTGTTACCATTTCCCCACAACTGTAATTTTCCTTTTTTTTTTTTCATGCTTACACCTTTCACAACCATTCCCCTAATTGTTCTCTGTCATCTGAGTGATACAGATCTTAGTGCCTTTAGCTTTTCTTTTAGAATATTCTTTCAACCATTCTTTCTGCTATGTGTCAGTTTCATTCCTGTGGTGAACGAGCAAAAGTTAGGATTTTTTCTGACAGATTAGTTTTACATTTCATAGCTAATATTGTCTCTGCCTGAAGTGAACAAATGTGTTAACACTTATGGTCTTTGCAGCCTATTGAAATGAATTGCAGTTATTAATTGTTTAGCCTTAAACAAAAACATGTGTAAACACATTTTCAGTATTGAGAGTTTAAAGGGCAGGAAATGCTTAAAATGCGTAGACTCCTTAAATTTTGTTTCGTGTAGAAGAGCCAGCTTTCAATGACTTGCTGCATATTTTGGGAGAGGAGAGGAAAAAGATATGAAGTGTTCTGAATGTGAATCCCTTCTGGGTCGTTAAAGCATTGCTAAGGGGTGAACAGAGGTCTGCCCTCTGTAGCTGGATTGGGTTGTTCTTTGTGTGTCCCTTGCATTAAGACCTGTATGTTTTCTCCACTGACTAGCTGAAGACTTACAGCTCTTCTTTCTCATTTGCTATAAAGGCTGGAGCATTCTTCTTCCATGTTTGTTTATTACCTATTGTAAGATGCATTACTGAAAGCCTGTTAACTGCGTCCGATGCCCCTTTTTGCCCTGCTTGTTAATGTTTCCATGTTTGCCGTAAAAATAACATTCCTTGTCTTGCATGGTAAAAACAGCAGCTCAAAAAATAGAACAAAGTTTTTGTGAAAATTGAGTTAATTGGGTTTTTTTGAAGTTTAAACTTTGATGTGAATGTTCTTCAGAATTTGTAATGAATCCAAATAATGAAATATTTTAAAACGTGGATTTTCATCCCGTAAGCAACTATTAGCCATTCCTATATCTACAGGAAAGTTCCTACTTTTCTGCTGCCATTTGTAGTTCCCTTGAGTCTGTACCTCTGGGCTTGAATATAGTCACAGCCAAGCTTAATTTCATCCACTTTGAAGAGGAGTAGGCAAATTCAGATGCCATTTCCCTGATCTAAGGTCAGCTCCTGGCAGGATGTCCTTGTCCTTCTCCCATTATTATTTCATGAGATAATGTAAAAGCTGTAGAAGGCAACATATACAAAACTGTTACCCCTCTCCTGCTACAGAGATCCGATTTCCATAGAAGGCAACAGGATGCAGCTACAACGCAGTCATGACAGGTGAAGTTATGGAAAAAAGAAAAGAGAGAGAGGTAGAGTAGAGCATAGTGGAGCCACACCAAAAACCCAGTATTTCTGTCCCAGTGAAAAGCGTGAGCAAGAAAATAAAAGACCTGGTATACTGGGTGCTGTTTACCTCAATCAGCACTGAAGAACAAAGCATTAGCAGAGTTTCTAGTGGTTCTGAAGCACGTGAGGAGCGTGCAGACTCTTCAAAAAAGTCTATATATTTTTGTACTCCCTCTGCAGTGCCATGTGACTTTATTTGCGGATTGGTTTAAACATACATTTTTATGTATGCCAATTGATAACGCTATGCTGGTCTCTTGTAGAAGTGCGTTGCCCCATCTTCCAGAAACCTGCAGGTGTAACAGTACTCCCTCCAAGCTGTGGGCTGGAGCCAGCTGTTTCTGGGACTGTGTGCCAGTTGAGCTGTCCCCAGGGATTCATCTTATCTGGAGCTAAAGAAGAAATAAGGTGCATTTCATTTGGGAGATGGAGTGCAAACATCCAGGAGGCTCTATGTAAAGGTAGAGACCAGCACAAAATCATTTCTGTGTACACGAGTGCATTGTTGAAGAGAAAGACCTAACAAAGGACAAAATGAGGATAGACTCGCACTGAGGAAAGCTCCATATAAGCAGCCTATTAAGAATGTTGTTTGTGCCATTGTAGCTTGGCTATCAGGTTACTTGAAGTTTGTAATGAATATGTGGAGCTCAAAGGGTTGCTGGAGAGCAGTCTCACAATGTTCATCATGAGCTGCCTCTCCTAGCTTCCATCTTGTACATATCTTGTTGGGAAGCTGCCTGCTTAAAGGCCTGACACAGAGATAAACTGGAAATTTCAGAGTGAAAGTGAAAAGCCCTTAGCTCAAAAGTGGCCAAAGTGGAAACCATACTCCTAGTAATATAACAATCATAATACTGCTATTGGTTTGTCACAGGTTTACGTAGCCCTTGTAATCTGAGCAGATATGGAAATCCTGTATAAACCTTGGCTGGTATACACACTACAGAGAGGTGCTTCTTTTCATTTGGCTCTGAGTTGACTACAGCTGTTTACCTGCCTTCAGTAACAGTGCGCAGGAGTTTAAGCCAAAACTGGCTGTCAGAGCTGCATGGAGTATATATAGATGGAGAGAAAACGGTGACATGCATTTGAATATGGTTCTGTCGTGGTTGCCCACCTCTTCTAGAAGTGTTAAATTATTTGTTCTCTTACACACATACACGCTGAATTGGAAAGACTTTGGCTTTGGATTATAGCAGAATACAGGTAAAGTGCGATCTGTCTGAGAGCTACTGCTCGCCTCTTTGTGAACCGCCGTGCTGGCAGAACTAGTGATTTCAGGTAGAACAAGGGTCCTCACGGACTGCATAAAAGAGCAGTACAGAAAAAAAGTTGTGACAGTCATCATGCTAAATCAGTTCAGAAACTGAGGTGGGAACTGTTTCTGTGTAATAGGCAGGAAGATTTTATCCTTCCCTTTAAACAAATAATTTCCCACAGTGTGATGTACCACATTGTTGTTCTGAATCTTCTGTGTAAACCTGTGCCAAACCGCAGTTTTTAATATTTGATGGGATCCCAGTATAAGGCTACTGGCTGAAGTGTTTGGATTGAGATGAAGCAGCGTGGCTTGGGATCAGGCTTTTAGATATTACCACGGCATAAAACCCTAAAATAAGCGGCACCAAGAATCTCTGAACGCTGTGCTTCCCTATTGCAGACGAGTGCAGTTTCAATTGCTTTCGTTCTTGTTGTTGTCTCTATTTTGCTGCCAAAATGTTGCTGCCAGGTCAAAAAGCCATTTTCTTTATGACTTATCTATTAGTCTTTCTTCAGAATTCACTTTTAAATGGAATTTGCCCCAGCCTGAAGGCTGTGGTCAGGGGAGTGTGAATCATAACTGGCAGTTATTTAAAGAGTGCATTTCTAGTAAAGTTTTCATCAGAATGAGTTCAGAGGAAGGCAAAACCACTTGTATTTATTGTTTAGTGCTCTTAATTATGGGGCTTTAATTGCCTGAGTTATGTCTTTGCTGGAACTATTTAGCAATAAAAATATAAGCAGTATCAGTCCTGAGTTGTTTTAAAGCCTCCTGGGCATATATGAGTTCAGAGCTGAATGCTGTTGTCCTTGTCTCATGAGTCTAGAGACCATTTATCAAACAACACTGCAGCAATAAAAAATAACCTGACCACAAATGTTTTGAGAGGCCCTATGCCAGGGAAATAATGAAGTACTTCAAGTTTGTCAGAGAAAGTTGAGGCTTAAATGTGGCTGGGGGGGGTCCCCATATTATAGCAGCAGTCCTTTGAAACCGTCCAGTATTGTCACATTTGTGACTAGAAGATCCCATTTGTCATGCGTAGCACCTTGCAGCAGGAGTTTTCCAGGAACTGGTGCCAGAAACGTCGTTGCTGTTTCTTTTCAAGTCAGTTCTACACCATGCTCCAAAAGACATGAGATTCACTACTGTCTTGCTCATAGTGCGTATGTCATGTCACAAATAGTTTTTCTTTTAAGTCATTGATGATTGGAAATGAGTGTTTATATCTGTATGTGTCATGCATGGATTTTCGGAAGTGAAAGGACAGAGAAGCCATTCTTTTTCGATAAGCAGATGCATCTAACGAATAAATGAATAATAAGAGAAACTAAGTCATCATTCTGTCTTATTTATTCTTTGCCTTACGGTTGCATGTAGGGACAAGAGTCTCATTGTGCTAAAGCATGTACTAAAATACAGCAAAAAGCAGTCCCTTCCCCAGGAGAACTTGCTATTTATGTATGAGCAAGTAGGCAAGAATTACAAGAGGCAGAGGCAGGAAGCGTGCGAAAAATGCAAAATAAAAAAAATAAGTCCAGGCAGCACGGAAAGCAGCGGTTGTAATAAGTGGCAGTCTCATTATTACAGAGATTTTATTGCTATAATCCCACATGTAAAACTAGTTTGTCTTTTTCTGGCTCAGATATTGAAGCTCCTCGGATCCGCTGTCCAGAAGATATTGAGACTCAGACTCTGGAACATCAGAATTCTGCTAATGTCAGCTGGCAGGTCCCAACAGCCGAAGATAACTCTGGAGATGAGGCAAGTTAAAATCTGTACATTTGACTGGGTGCAGTCTTTTAATAGCATTCTTTTGCTGGCTATTTAGAATTAATTTTCTAAACCACTAGAATTTCTTTTTCTGGTAAGCAGGAGTAGAAGAAAGATCTGCTGAACGCTTTGTATCTTGAGAATTCAGCATTTTTTTCTCAGTTAAGGCTATGCACTCACAGGACCCTGCATGGTGTTTAAGTGGATAAAATCTCGTATGGTTAATTTATGTGGTCAAAAGAAAGAATGTGCCCTTGTTTATAAAACGGAGACAGCCGCTTTAAAAATGAGCTCTTAGAATGTGAAGGAGTTTAATAAACTCCTCTCATAAGGAAGTAAACCAGTTCATTAATCTAAAAGGCTAACAAGAGCGTGCTGTGATAAGTAAAAACTTGATTCAGCTTTCTGAGTGAGAGAGAAAAATCCCATTTTTCTATGCCATGCAAGTTTCAGACACGGGCCTTTGACTGCAGTGGGTAGCAGAGGGCTGGGAATGGAGTTATAAGGAGAATTTGCTACAGAGCTGTTTCATGAAGAGTGACATTCCCTACAGGCTCAGACATGATCAAGTTACAGCAACTGCATGCATGCATTATCGTGAGTCAGCAGAGGAAGAGTGACTGTGTGCGTGCTCTTAATCTGCTGCAAAGACAGGAGTTTTTCACTTGGAAGCTGTGGGCTGTCCCAGAAAAAGAGGTTTAAGTTAGTACATTTTTTGTTACAGTACAGCCACGCTCAGCTAGTATAGCTCTGCTGACAGAGGATCATTCATTACGCCACAGAAACAAATTACCCTAGCTCTCAGTTGTAGCTGGTTTGTCAAAGCCGTAGTTCTCAGATAAACTATTTTGCTCGTGTGGAGCTGATTCTTTTAGAGAGAGGTGCCTTTACACAGTTCTAACCCATATGAAGGGGCCATGGAGAGCATGTAAGTGTCATTTGTTCCAAATGAAGGACTACTTTGTACTGCCAGAATTGTTTGAAGCATTTTTGGTCTGTTGACTCACAAACGCATATAGATTAAAACTGGGTACGTTAAGTCCTTGTGGCTCACAGCTGTCTGCCCCACACATCTCCTAGGACTACTGCCTCTGCAGCTGGAGACCTGAACTGCAGACAAAGCACATCCTGAGCAAGCATAGTTTGCAGTTCGGTGTATTGAGGCAGACAGGAGTCAGTCTCTGATTGTCTTAATGCACGAGGCTATGAAGTACAGCAGGATAAGGTCCAGCACCTGAGCCAGTAAATCCCACTTGCTGTGAAGAAGGCAGTCTCAGGAAGGGAAGCAAGGCAGTCTTCTGCACAGTCTGCCTTTGTTACATGAAGGGGCTAATTGCGTTCAGGTGTGGACAAGGTTAACGTTGTTAAACAACACAGTTTAGCGTCCATTTCTTGAAATATGTGAGTGTTGTGATTACTAACCATGTTTGTTTTTTAAGTAACAAGTGTCTTCCTATAAAAGGTCTCAGTTCATGTTACCCCAGCTTTCATACCACCGTATCTTCTCCCGATCGGCGAAGTTGCTATTACTTACGCAGCGGTTGATAAGTCAGGCAATGAGGCAAGCTGTACGTTCAGTGTCAAGGTTATTGGTAAGTTAAGTATCTGCTGCTAAAAATCAGTGGGGAAGAGTCTGTCATGGAGGAAATCTTCTCATTTTGTGCAGAAAAAGACTGTGAATCACTGTGGCCTTTACGTGTGCACGTATAAGCCCAAGAATCATCTCCTTAAATGCTTTGCTGATCTTGAGCCCCAGTCTGCATAGTGGCAGCATCACTGCTGCCACATGCTTTGTTTGGGTTGTATTGTGTTATGTTCTTCATCCTGAACCTCAAGATTTCTCCTCCTTTTGCTAAAATTAAATGCCTTGCTATGTTGTAAGTAAATTTTTTACTGCGTTCACCATACGCATCTTTTTTTTTTCTTCTTGAAAGACTCCATACCGACAAAGAACTTTAAAAGTTCTTGCATGTTCCTAATGCAACTCATTGTTCAAATATTTGTATCAGACAGTCTCGTCATTCAGCAGTCCTGTGAGCAAAGTTTGGCTCTGTGGAACAAAACAAAATGCAGGAACCAGGAGTTCAGCTGAATAATTTGCCTTGTCTTATTTCCATTCCTTTCCCTCAGCGTCTACCAGTTAGCAGTGTACTCACAAGGGTGCACCTAACTTTATTATGTCTCCTGAGGTGAACTTAAACTGCTGTTTAAATGACTTCTTCTGATCACAGATTTTACCTGAGTGTGAGTACAGTTCAGTGAACTAATTTCATGTCATTCCTTCGAATTATGTAGATACAGAACCTCCTGTAATTGACAGATGCAGATCCCCACCCGCTGTGCAAGCACTGGAGAAGGAGTACCCAGCCACATGGGAAGAACCTCAGTTTTCAGACAATTCAGGTGAGGCAATGCACCCCAAAGCATATACATGACAGTGGGAGACTGGGGAGCTCCACACTGCTTACCTATGATGCCTTGGCATTCCAGATTTTTTTTTTTAATTATTTGTTTTTAGGAACATACTATTTGGAAGGCACGCTGCCATTTCCTTCTCCGCTTGCCAGGCTTGAGTACCAGCAATCCTATTTTGCTGATTTTGCGTTCGGTGTCAGTAGGAAGATCTTCAGTGAGCTAGGCCAGAAGAGCCTTCTTATCGATATTTTAAGTTGTCATTTGACTCTTCTAGGTGCTGCACTGACTATTACTAGAAGTCATGCACCTGGAGATCTCTTCCCCAAAGGAGAGACAACAGTTCAATACACAGCTACGGACCCGTCTGGCAATAATAGGACATGTGAGATCCATATTGTCATCAAAGGTTTGTTATCCTAATTTTTTTGTGTCTGCTGGCACAGATCCTTCTGTGCCATAGTGTAACATTTGTTACTACGGATCGGTATCCCCAAACCAGCAAGAATGTATAGCTTTGTTATGACTGAATATGACAAAGGATACAACCCTACTCCGCTTTTTCATTCAGTCTACACTTTTTCATTTAGTTATTCCCATTTTATATGGGAGTAACTTGAAGGCAGTAAGGATATTTTTTTAAACTAGCAGATTATCTAAGACTGAAGCAGCACAGCGGTGAATTGGGTCCTATAAATTCAAATGAGTGTAGAAGCACTGAAGTTACTATTCATTAAGCAGTAAAACTTTTGGTAATGGATCCAGTTGTTTGTCAGTGACAAATGCAGGGCGAAACAGATTAACAGGTGTTCTTGAAGTCTCACATGAAATCTGTAGAGTATGTAGTTAGAAAGGAGAATTTCCATGGAAAGATTTTTGTGATCACCTGCAAATATCCCAGCAGGTATTACAATACATTTTAGGTTTTAGAAGCTAGCTATGCCTATAAATATACTCATGTATTTTTATTGCTTGCATAGACACTTCTTCCCCCCGCTCCCAGTTATCAAGTCCGCTTTCTTCTTTAAAGGCCAAACATCTATTTGGCAGATGAAGAACTAAGGATGAAAATTCCACTTTAATTCTGCCCTCTAATGCTAATGTTGGACAGCTATATAAAAAAATCTGCTAGTGAACAGAAAATTTAAAGTCATGCAAACTGGAGTTTTGATCATAGGTTTACAAAAAGGTAACTTGCAGATGGATATCCTAATTTCTTATATACTTTTGTAAAACTTAACAAGAAAAAGCCAGTTCTTAGAATCAGCATTATTTTAAATTCTAGACCACCTCAGACTTTTTGTGTTCTCAGTGACTGGGACATAACATTTTCAAATGTTCAAGTTCTTCACAATGATCTCATAAAAATATATTCTAACTGAGGCTTTACAGTCCTAAGGTAATTCTGGCTTCTTATATAGCCAGATCAAATCCATGTGTTGCTGCAACAGTGCAGAACAAATAATGCTTAGTTTCAGAATTCAGTATGTAACATAGTTTAATTCGCTCATGCAAGTTTGCAGAAAAGATATGGTTTAGTGTTTTGTATTATTTTACTACAGACATAAATGCACCTTTGAAAAAGTACAGAAAATTTTAAGTCTTGCATTTCTAAATTTGTTTTCTTTTCTCATATATATCACAGATTGAGTCTTTGTTTCTGGATTAAAATTTCAATGACAGAGTTCAAGAAGAATGTAGCACTAGCCTAATTCTGCTTTTATGGAAATCACGAGAAGTAGCTGCACAGACTTGCAACAGAAGTAGAATCAGATTGATACTTGGTGCTTTTGGAAATCTTATCTGCAGTTTTCCTGTGTACATACTTGCTTCACTACAATCATCCATATATAAAATCTGTGTGTTTTCCGTAGGTTCCCGTTGTGAAATCTCCTTTGAGCCTGTGAATGGTGATTTTACATGCACATCAGACGAAGCAGGTGTTAATTGCACGTTAAGCTGCGCAGAGGGTTTTAGCTTTTCAGAAGGATCAAGTGAAAATTACTATTGTGCTTATGAGGATGGTGTCTGGAAGCCACCTTATTCTCCAGAGTGGCCCGACTGCTCTTGTAAGTCTTTTTAATATTAGCCTTAGTTTTGAAAAAAATAATCGGAAGCTCAAACAACGTGTCTAAGGAGGAAGTAAATAAAAGTATTTTAGAAATTAGGACAGCTGTTTAATGGTAACAAATTTGCTCTGTCCTCTGCCACTAAACTGTTAGAAATATTGCAAAAAGAATGCCTAGAAGTCTTTAAATGTATTATTTCAGAAGGTCTCTAAAATATAAAAGTAGTAGTAAAATTTGAATCCTGGGATTCAGAAGACAGCCAAGATGTCAAAGTTAAAGTTCGTCTGTCGTTAGCATTTGAAATAGTTTTTCTGTGGACAACACTAACAGTGCCATTTCAACAGTAATTTCGTCAGCTTTTGCAAATTGTCAGTGCAAATGCTGTGGTTACCTAGCCACTTTCCACCAAATCAGAAGTTCTTATGTATTTTCTTATTTGAGATGAGCATATGCAAAACTTCAGCCGTGGACTTTCTCAGCTGTGCTGGCCTTTTAAATCAAATATGAATATAAGAGCTGCAGTTGAAGCCAGTCTTGGTACTATGTTGTGTCCACTTTCATCGGAGTGGGTTCCTTGGTTTCAGCAAACAAGTGCAGTATTTCAGCTGTAAGCCAACAAGAGTGATGTTTCAGACCTACCTGTGAGGCAAAAATCCATAATTTGCATACTTAGAAACTTTGACTTGCTTAAATTCTGGGTGAGAGTTTTTCCACATTTAGCCAAAGAGTAATAGCATTTTAATATCTGTTGCTTCTCCCTCTGTAGGAAGTGTGGAGGTTGATGTTATGCCTGTTCACAGGTTGCTCCCGTTAAGAAAATACTGAGATAGGTCAATGACTGTCATCTGTAGTCTCCAGTAGCTTTCACATTGAAGTATTCAGCAGCGTTGTGGAAGTTTCATGCCTGTTGAGGGGCATTCTCTGTGCTGTCATATTCAACTCCATTGGCTGAGACTGAACTGAATGTTTTTAAACTAACCGATACATTTTCATATACAGCACTGGGAGTCTGAGCTGCTGATTTAAAGGCAATGCTTCTTAGACTAGAGGAATCTAGTTTCAGCCAGTCCTCTGAAATTATTACTCTGACCAATACAATTTTTTCTCCATTTTTCAGTAAATCGTTTTGCAAACCATGGGTTCAAATCCTTTGAGATGCTCTATAAAGCAACACGATGTGATGACAACAGTCTTCTAAATAGTTTTGCTGATGCCTTCCAGAGTGCGCTTGGTAAAATGGTAGGTTAGTAAATAGTCCTTTCTTCTACTACTTCCCCCCCACCCAATATGTACCTAATTGTTACTTTTTCAAGCTGACTAATTGCTTACAAGGAAAATAGCACAGAAACTTGAAACGGAAGTTTTGTTTCATTTCAGAAAATGAAATATGCCCTTTAAAGATGAAAAGGATACGTAGGCATTTTAATGTAACTCACTGCCGTCTTCAGTGCAGTTACTTATGAAAGAATCCAATCAGCCTATTAGGATGGTCTCCAAGAAGCTTGGAGACCTGACTTACAGGTTTTCAGTAGGCTTCCAAAGATACCTGTGCATATTTGAAAAACTCAGTCAGTTGTGCCTTAAACCCAATGTTACTTTTGAAAGTCGGATGTTATGCCAAGATATATTTTATATAGAATATATATAGTATACCTATATAATTAAATATGCATATATACAAGCATATACAACCTTCCAAGGTTGTTACTTAAGTTCAGGCACTTAAATCCAGTGGCTGGGGTTTAAAAAATTTTCTCAGTGTTCTCAGATTTTTCAAGTTTCTGAGTTCTCCCTGTTATCAAAAAGAGCTCTATGACCCTGAATGTGAAGGGGTAGCCCGTTCCTTTTCTGCAGCATCTTTTCCTTTTTACCTCAGTACCACAGTCTGTTAATCCACAATTATATCCACAGCCACAGAGCAGAAGCGGCAGGATTTTGAGGGGTGGCCTAAGGAGTTGACAGTCCAGGCCTAGTCCGATAGCATTGCCCTGGAAGAGAACATTGGACACGTACAGATTCTGGAGGACACGGAAAGATCCATGTGCTGAAAGCTCCACCATTAACTCAAAAGCATTATTAACACATACAGCTAATGGACAAATTCCTGCAGCTTTGGATGCAGATGACCACTATTTGACCTGTTCAAATAGTTCAAAGCCTACATAACCCTTCCAGGCAGCCTGTGGCACCAGGGCCTAAACATCTGTCACTCACTTGTCTTGCTTCGGGTTTATTCTCTTCCAGTAGGAAAATCTTTGTTTTATTTCCTTTCCTTTCTCCTGAGAGCGTATTTATCACCTACTACCAGGTTCCAGTGCTTACAGCATTGGAACCAGAAAGCAAGATAAGTGCCTGATGACCAGTCCAAGCAGTTACATCGAAAGGCAACAGTCTGGGAAAAGAGTTATGAAGACTATTTTGAATATGCCCAGTCCTGCTCCTAAGGATTTGGAATTTTATCAGAGATCTGAGGAGAGGAAGAGAGTTAGCAGGAGCCACCTCTCTAATGAAAAAGTGATATGGAAAAAGCAAAGAAATTCAGAAACACCTCTCAGAGCCCACCCTGCTCTGAAACTTCCTGGAAAGAGAAATATGAAGTTGATCAAAAAAATCATTCATGCTTTCATCTAATCGTATAGAGCCTCCACTGCCTTTGTGGAGAGAGGAAATCACCAGTACCAAGAAGGTTTCTGTAGTGTTTTCTGTTCAGTGTTTTCCAAGCTCATTCTGTTAGAGAGCAGCAAGGGTCAGCTGCTTGCGAAGGGCAGGGAAGTTAAGGGTCAAGGCATACATCACAGCCAGCAGCGCGCAGGCCTCACCAGGCAGAGCCCAGTACCACAGCACCCAAGCAAGGCAAAAACAGAAAAGCATGGCAAGGTTCAAGCAAGAATTGAGATCACTAGGCCAGTTCCTAAGGTTGAAGCAGGTCCAAAGTCAAGCTAAGAAGTCAATCTGCAGGTCAAGGTCTTGATCAGCAGGGTCTATAGCCAGATATCAGCATAGCTGTAGCTGAGCTAGAGATCCGTACTCCTCCAGCATTGCTCAGGCAGCAACCTAAGCCCCTGAACTGAGCTTAAATGGGCCTGCGGGCAGAGGGTGTAGGAAAGGCCTCTGGAGAGGCTGATTGGGGGCCGTTAAGGACTACTAGTGCCCTGAGGCCATGCCACATCCCAGGCAGGCCCCCATGGAAATCAATAGTGAGAAGGTGTGAGCCCTTGCATGGCCCAAATTTTTGCAGCTTTCCAGTAGCTGGACTCTTTGTCACTACAATGGAGAGCCACCCTTCTCTCCAATGCATTGTTCATGCGGTTGGAAATACTTCTTTGTTTTTGTAGCGTATTTCAGGAGGGGCTCTTTCAAGGTTTTACAAGTATTTCTGGGTTACAGCCTTCATGCAGTGGAGTTGTATGCCACTGCTATTATCCTAAACTGGGAGACAAGCACCAGGAAGTTAAGTAAGCCACATAGAGGCATCCAGCCTCTTTACCAGTGCTCTGGTAAAGCCACCACGACTATCTAGTTTCCTCAGCATCTGATTGTGTACCATGTTCAAAAGCCTGTCCTTCTCCTCATATGACTTCCCCTGTCTTCTGAGGTCTCTTGAAGGAATGCATGAGTTCCTCCCCATGGGTAGGGAGGAGATGGACATGAAGAAACAAGGTTTGAAAGCTAGAAACATACTAACAGTGTTGCTGTAACTCCGGCAGAATTACAGGTTACTTGCCTAGAAAAAAAACAAGATGTTTTCAGACCTGTAAGCTCTCCTGTTGTCTTCAGCTTGGAGAAACAAGCCTAAACTTTCTTCTGTATTAGGGGATTTTGTGAGCAAGAATGGTACAGAGGTTAACTGAATGGACCTCTTGTCTTACATAAATGTTAAGAGTATGCAAAGGAACTTGCATGCCTACAAGTTTTCCTGTTCTTTCCCAGCTGTATCAATAGAATATATTTCCTCCAGCAGACCTTGTCAGGATTATAACAGACTTGTGAAAGGAGAAATCTGGTGTCAGAGAAAGGGCAGGACAGGTGCTTTACATCGTAATTAGAATTCTTTTTCAGCCGGGGTGGCTATGTAATTTTGTCTTTTAATGTTATTCTTCTTTCTGTTTGAAGGTCCCATCATTCTGTAATGATGCTGATGATATTGACTGCAGATTGGAAGACCAGACACATAAACATTGCTTAGAATATAATTACGATTACGAAAATGGATTTGCCATTGGTAATTACTGATTGCATAGACTGTTAGTCATCCAGGCTTAATGTGGCTTAATTGCTTTTGTTCTGAAGTACTGCCCTGTGTTGTGTGGAATATTTAAAGAAAACAGTTACAGAGCTCCTAATATACCAAGCAATTAAATAATAAGTTTGGTAACAGTATTATGAAGCTGTTTATTATCTGATTTTGTTAGTGCTTCCTATATAGCACACATGTAGAGGAAAAGTTTACTGGGATGGTTCATGATGAAGAGAAAAAAGGCAGAGAACCAACCCGACCTGCTTGTTTAGCCTTCAGGAAAGGAACTTTTTAAAAATATACAATTTCAAACCAAAAGACTCAGAAAGAACAATGGAGGATTCTGGAGAGCGTCAGGACAAAAGGGAGCTTTTTGTTGCTCCCTTGCTTTTGTTGCTCCCGTATTGCTTGTCCCTTCACCATGCTTGTCCTTACCCTCACCATGTAAAGCTAAAAGAGCTTAAGTTTGCCTGTTAGCTGTGAAACGACTTTCTGTATGCAAGGACAGTTTTTTTGCAGGATTCAGGCTGTGGTCGTATCTGAATGAAAGCTGTGCCAGTCCTCACGATTGTTCCTACTGTGCTTTATGCCAAGTACATTGTCAGTGTCAGTCCATTTTCAAGCATATTAGTGTCTATGCTGTACAGCTGTTGTGATTGGCGCTTCTGAGTCCTTTGGGGGTGCTTAGGGCAGAGAGGCTAAGAACACATTAAAACAGAAAATGAACTGACATCACCTATCTTAGTGGGAGGCATTTGGCAGGGCAACCTCAGAATGCTTACTTTGCCTTAGGGCTTGGCTCTTTTTGGGGTTCGTAAAGGGATTACTTTGCTACAGCTTCCTTTATATTCTCACCACCTTTCAGACATGCGTCACTGCGTTTGATGAGGGCACATTTGTTTGTAACCAAACAGAGAGGGTGCAATTTCCAGTTGTCATCAAAGGAGGGGGGATTATTAATGACAGCTGGAACTCATTTCAAAGGTCATCTAAAACAGTGAAAACAGTGTTGAGGAAATGAGATATAGGGCTCTGTTCTGTTTTAATTCATGCTAGCTTCTTTTCAGAATAACCTTATTGCTTTTTCTGGAGTTTCTTGTGATTTTACCTCAGGGAGGGTGAAGATCGGAGCTCCCCTCAGGTCATAAGAGGCAATAATTTAGAAGATTAGTTATGGAATAATTGCACAGTATTAACCCCAGAGCTATGGGGTTAACTTACCTAAGTTTTGCTGTAAACTAAGGATAATCTAGATGACTGTTAGCTAGTACTAGGCAGAATTTCTTTATACTTTCACCTTTTCCAGAAAAAGAGCTAGATTAATGAAATAGACCATGTGCCTCTAATTTCAGTCATTATGAAAAGGCAGATTCTGTACAGAAACAAATGTTTAAGCAGGATAAGCTAATTGAATGCACGTTGTAGCTAATTACATCAGGACATTATACTGGAGGTGAATTTAACCCACTAGACATAATAGTAAACGTCTAATTGAGAAGACTGAACATGTCAGGTGATCCACCGTCCTCTTCTGAGAGGGCAGGCAGGTACAACCGTTGCAAGAGTTATGCAAAAGAGGTGTAATAGATACACGTGGCATAAGCCATGTTAGCCATAGTTAAACAGGAAGAAGAAGAGAGGATTTGAATTTGTCGTAGAAGATGTTACTGGCAGTAGAAGGGCCTGTGTGAAGACTGAGCAGGAAGAGAATTGCTACTTCTATCAGAAATTTATTTTATAACTTTTATAGGAGTATTTTTTTAAGTCTTTGGCTAAAGACACAAGTTTAGGAGCTCTAGGCTATAAGTGGGGCTTCACTGATCATCAGAGAGACTTGTTTACTTTTTCTTTCTGTATGGAGCTGATGAAATCGCTAGCCAAAATCCTGCTACATGCATGTTACATCCGGCATGGTTCATTACTTTTACTAAACCAGAATAAGTGGTATCAGCATAAAGAATGGTGGAACTCTGCTTACAGGCAGGGGGTTGTTAACAAAGGGAGAGTTGTGTTTTGACTAACACCTTATTATACCATTAAAACTTTTTTGCCTAGGCAAAGCCAACACACGTTGTCCGGAGCTTCAAATAGATCCCATTCTATAGGGGAGGTATTTTAAAAATAAATGTAAATATGACAGGCGGCAAGTTTCTACATGATTATATTTCTCTTTTTTTTCCCTTCTTTCTTAATGCCTGGCAGGACCTGCTGGTTGGGGGGCAGCAAACCAGCTGGATTATTCCTATGGTGATTTCATTGATACAGTGCAGGAAGAAGACCTATCCAAGCATCTCTCTGCCTCTGTAAAGGCAGCACCTGCTCGGGTCAAAAGACATAAGAAGCTCAACATTCCGATGACTGACCACAAAATTAAGTTAATATTTAACATCACAGGTGAGGGAAATCACAATATTTCCCTTCTCCTATTCCTTATTTTTTAAAAATATATATTTCTAATACATTCAGTAAAACTTTATCTTCAGTTCACAAAGCCTGCTAGAAATGCAGATGACAGTTCTCTGGAGACATTCATAGCCCGGTTTGCTCAGGCATTCTGTTTGGGGAAGATCACAGCATGTTGTTCATGGAGAGCGCTGTGCACATGGCCTGCTTTCCACTTTGCACTGGCAAGACTGAGTGTTGCACTCCCAGAGTACACTAGAAGTGCTGACCGTAAAATCTGTATGCTTGTTGTGTGTTCTCTTTAAATCCCAGCTAGCGTGCCATTGCCTGATGAAAGGAATGATACATTGGAACTGGAAAACCAGCAAAGACTCCTTAAAACTCTAGAGACTATCACGAACAGGCTGAATAGGACTCTCAGTAAGGAACCCATGTATTCTTTTCAGTTTGCGTCCGAACTCATTGTAGCTGACAGCAACTCGCTGGAGACCGAGAAGGCTTTTCTTTTCTGCAGGCCTGGCTCCGTGCTGAGGGGAAGAATGTGTGGTAAGCCAGATGACTTACTCCTTACACGTATTTAAAATCATTTTAAAAAGCAGGGTTTTAGGCAATGTTTGCAGAGGGTAAGCGATTGGCACAACCCATTGCTTGTGGTCTCCCAGAACAATAAACTCTGCAATGCTTTGCGCAGTCTGACTTCTAGAGGATGTTTGTGTTCATAACCAAGGACTTTGGAAAAAGGACGCTTTCATATCCAAGGTTCCACTCCCTTGGGGAAATCAGGCGTATCCACGCTTGTTAATACTCAGGAAAACAGTGCTTTATACGCAGTCTTTTAACGCTATTAGTCTTGAAGACGATGTGTAGCTAACATAGGGAGTTGGATTTCATTTCTTGCAGCCAGTGAAATCTTTAGACGGTTCCAGATAGTTCCCCATGCAAGAGAGCAGAGACATATTTCACATAAACAGGACTGGGTTAAGTGAGAACTCTGGACGCAAGGCGAGTGTGCGTGATTGTGTGTTCTGAGGGGAGCTTATGTCTCCAATGTTACAGTCAACTGCCCGCTGGGTACCTATTACTCTCTGGAGCATCACGCCTGCGAAAGCTGCTGGACCGGATCCTACCAAGACGAGGAAGGGCAGCTGGAATGCAAAAGTTGTCCATCTGGTAGCTATACGGAGTACCTACACTCCAGAAGCATCTCTGAGTGCAAAGGTGAGAATGTCACCTTCTTCAGGCAGTTGCTTTTAAATGTCTAGTGGCCATCGCTTTTCTCCTCGTTGCAGGAGTACTGGAATGAGACTAGCCTGTGAAGTGAGGAGTAGTCCTGACTGCCCCTTGATACGCGTGCAAAGAGAAATTTCCCCGCCACCGTGGCATGCAGAATGCTGGCGCAAATGGTTTTAAGCACAAGAAGAACTGATCTCTGAGGCTTTGTTTCAGTTCTGTCTCTGTGAGATTATGAGCCTGTTTCGCCTGAACTAGTAATCCCTGACTGGTGCAGTTGCGCACACTTCACTTCTAACAATGCCATTCTGCTTACCAGCTATTCTCCATCCTGCAGTGATGGAATACGAAATGCCTGCATTGCATGCTACCAGGCTCTGGCACGGAGCCCCTCAGCACAGCTCAGTCTTTGCAACTTGTTTCTGAAAGAAAAGCTGCTAGTTTTGTCTTCTGTTTGTTGTCTTGTCGTTGTCTTTGGTTAAAAATGAGTAGCTGAGTTGCAGTAAGTCATCTGTGAAGTTATGTGGAAAATAATTAACTGGTTAATAACTTGCAAATGAACTGTCAGTAACTTACGACATCCTGCACTTCAAAATTCCATTTTTTAGCCCTTTGTACCCATGAAGCCCTTCAGAGTAAACTAAAAAATAGCAGAAATAAACAGTCTCTGTGATGTGTATTGTGGTTTCAGCATTATTTTTAGAGGTTAGGCATCATGTTTCCTGTTGGATAATGCCTAATCTTTATGAATTGCTCTGCCTTATAGCTCAGTGCAAGCAGGGAACCTATTCACTTAATGGTCTTGAAACCTGCGAATCGTGTCCACTTGGCACATATCAGCCAGCATTTGGATCCAGGAACTGCATTTCTTGCCCAGAAAATATGTCAACAGTAAAAAGAGGCGCTGTGGATGTCTCAGCCTGTGGAGGTTTGTAGCAGAAGGGGCTATGAAATTTCTAAAAATGAAGCAGTGTTTAAACAACAGCTAATGTAGTCCAATTCATCTACCTGAGATTTAACTCAGCCTATGGTTAAGTGTAGACTGGCAGAATTTCGCAGCACAATGACAGGCCATTTCCTATTACCCTGAATTTTTGAAACACCCTCCTTCTGATTTCCGGGATGAGTTCTTAACTAAAGATGAATAGAATGAGCCCTCTGATGAGTAGCTGTGTGAAAATAAAGCCTTTTCCAATTCATAAGAGGGAGGGAATTGCAGTATGTTTTATCACCGTTATCTCAGGAACAGTTTCCACATCTGCTGGGCAAAAAATTTGAATTTTGGTTTAGTTTGTACCATTTCCTTTTTCAAGTAACTGTCCTCAACAGTCTTTGGGAAAGTTTTGCCGGAAAGATCCCCAAGGCAAATAGTCTACAGGGAAAACGGTACAAAAAAACCCTTGTCTTTGGTCCTTAGACCTTCTTGGGGGGAGGGGGGAAGGAGGCGATGTGGGAAGTTGCAGTTGAAAGCTGTCTCCACTGCAGTGAGTGGAATAGATAAAAATACCTCCAAGTTAATTTTTTTTGATTCTTTGAGGTCCACGTGTCACCTAACAGCACAGTTTAAATAAGGATTTCTCAGAGTTGTGAATTCTTTGTGGGTTTCACCCAAATGCTGTAGGTCTGAGGAGGAAATGTGGTGGGAGGAGAGCAAATGACCAGAAAAGGGGCAAGTGATCACTGAAGAAAATGTCCTTTTGTTCTTGCAGTGCCATGTTCTGCAGGAGAGTTCTCTCGTACAGGTTTGATACCTTGCTACCCCTGTCCCAGAGACTACTATCAGCCAGACCCAGGGAAGTCCTACTGCTTGTCTTGTCCCTTTTATGGGACAACAACCATCACTGGTGCCAGATCCATCACAGATTGTTCAAGTAAGTCAAAGTGTCTCCCCGGAAGAATGTGAAAAAAGGGAGCATGTAAAGGTGTGGCCAGCAGCTGCCTAAAGGGAAAACATCCCGTTCTCTCTCCGAACGTATCAGCCAGCGCAGTTCCTACCTGTTTCTGCCCTCTAATGTTGTCTCTGGGTTATGTGGAAGGAGTGACTGTGTGATATGTACTAAGGCTCGATTACAGAGTAAGGATTCTGGACCCCACTGAATTTGATAAGAGTTTTCCTTCAGGCCCGTAAAAAACACAGTAAATCTTTATATATATACATAAATAAACATATAAAAATATGTATATATGTATATGACCAAAATAAAAATATGTGTGTATATTTTATATGTACATACACATGCATGTGTTTTAGAAATATGTATGTTTATAATATATAAAGTATACATAAAATACTGTGTGGTTACTGTAAATTGTTATATTTATTCCCACAAATCCACTTCTATTAGCATTTAGATGCGTTACTAAAATGCAATTATGATGCCCTCATGGAGCGGGGATCTGGCTGCGGGGTGTTATTAACAGCACTTTCATGTCTTTGCTCTTTAGGTTTCGGCTCTACTTTCTCAGCAGCTGAGGAAAGTGTTATGATGGTCCCAGCCTCTCCAGAAAATATCAGCAAGCAGTACAAAGTCAGCAGTCAGGCAAGGACCGCATATAGCTTCTAATGTTGACTCTAATGAAAGAAATAGTGTCTTATGCCAGCAGTAAATGAGTAATGCTTTCTTCATTGTAATTGTTATGTTGACCGTATTTCCTGAAGAGGTGAGAGTGATGGTCATGAGAGCTACTGTATTTGATAGATATCAAATAAAGATAGGACTTGATCAAACTAAAGACAGGACTTCTAATCCTGCTGACCTACATGTCAGTCTTACTCAGCAGAATTCATAAAAGTTGCTGTTTGCTAGCCAGTGACAACACAGGTAGATTCACAGCCATTTTAGCTTTGAAACTCTCTCTATGATTATAGAAATACTCCTGTTGAATAAAAGAAGCTGCATCAGTTATTGGCAAACTTAAATTTTGGAGCTTGAAGCCTTCAACCTGATTTATGAAATATTTGTCACATTTTTTAAAGAAACATGAACCACTTGGAGGAGGTTCAGTCAGTCTCTAAAAAGTAGGTTGCTCCCGCTCAGTCATTTGATGGCTTCTCTGTGCTGGATTTCAGAAGATGCTACCAGACATCTGCGTCCCAGCTGTAAAGACTTTATTTTTACTTATTACGATATAGATATACTTGAGAAGAAACAAGCAGAACTCCCTTCTGCTGTGAGTACCCTCCCTGAAATACATGCAGGTCCTTGTGTAACAGAAACTACTCGGGTGACTTGTTTGCCACAGCCCCCGGCTGTAACTGTGACAAGGCTGCTTTCTGTGAATCTCAAGCTGAGACATTATGTTGCAGGAACAAAGCTGACTGATGATAGGTTGGGTCGGAACTACTAGTTTAAAATATGGGCAGATGACAAACGGATCCCCCATGGCTGTAGCTGACCATTTTGTCAAGGGCCCTGTTGAATTCAAGTTTGCTGTCTGAGAATAAACAACTCTATACAGTGGAGTTCCCCGCCAATTCACCTCTCTTTGTTACAAAAGACAACCAGCAGAAGGAAGTGATTATCAATCAATGTAAAAGGAAGCAGAGAGGAAGACAAATGCTGGAGAACTATCCTATGAAATACGACATAGTATAACGGGTCTGCTGTCAGCCAGAGCTAGGAAGATTCTAGAGGAGCAGCTGCAGTGATTGCTTTTTGCTAACCAAAAAGATCATCTGAAAAAATGATTCAAATTCCTAACAGTTTTCCCTAGAAATAAGAGTGGTTGACACTCACATGAGACAAAGGGGAAGAGCTTAAGGTTAATCTCAGGGATTTTTTTTTCAGTTCTTTAAAAATAACTATCGAGGTTGCAGCTTAAAATTAGAATATTTCTTTCCAAATGTATTTCCAAGTTGACTGTAATTATATCATTCTTGCCTATGGCAGGTCTTTCACGAGTGTTTCCTGGAACCGTGCCACAACAATGGGACATGCAAACAGTTGGGAAGTGGATATATTTGCATATGCCCAATTGGATATACAGGTAAAAATGTCAGAAGTGCGTGGAAGGATAAAATGGCTCCATGTCCTTAATATCAGCAAGCATAAAGGAGCAGAACGTTTCAGTGCAAAAGGAAAGAATATAGGCTAACAAATTGGATTGCCCATCACAGATTTACTACACTAAGTATTAATAAAATAGATAGTTCTCGTTGTTGCTGAATTATATAGTATTTGGCAGAAAGGAAGTTTAGCTGGGATTTCTTTTACTGGAGTGAATGAAAGGTCTCACATACTTCAGTTGGAGCAGAACTGGACAAAACTGTATGGATTTGAAAATCCTGTTGCTTAACAATTATTTTTGATAAGCAAAAACTGGAAATTTGTACTATGAACAGCTAATCCTACCACATCTTCCCGTTATTCTCGCTATCAGCTTCACTGTTGTTCCAAAGCCAATAGATAATTCATGTTATTTTAATAGCTAGTATCAAGAAATTAGTGGTTTCAGTTATTTGTGATAGACTGTTAAGTACTACCATCCGGAACTGATCAGACATTGCCTGATCTACGTTATATCTTTCTAAGAGCATTTTCTGACAGACTTCTGTTAAAACACAGTTCAAAAGATAATGAACTAAAATGTCTAGTAATCCAGGCCATTAATCAGTGTGATTTTTCCTACGTTAAGTATTCATGACCTCTCTGTTTCTGAACAATTTCATTTTTGTCTCTCTGTTCTCAGTTTTTTGTTTTGCATTCTAGGTTTGAAGTGCGAAACTGAAATTGATGAGTGTAAATCATCTCCTTGTCACCACAATGGGATGTGTAAGGATGGCATTGGGGCCTTTGTTTGCCATTGTCAACCAGGCTATTCAGGTGATTTAAATTACCTCATAGCTCTTCTTCAGAAAGGCATTGTTTCTGTGCCAAGTAGAAAAAACACAACGCAAGGGCTGTGCTTCCTTCTGCTGACATTAATAGAATTATAACAGGAAAGCGATCCAATCCATAGGCTAGAGGAAAGCTCTAGTGTGTCCAAATAGTTTTTGAAATAAAAGGAAGAGCATTGAAGAAGGACAGTTTGTGTGAGTGTGCCTCACACAAACAATTTCGTTTTGTGACAATTATGATCTGAAAAAAAGGAAAGATTAGAGAATTCAGAAAATTCAGAAGAAAAAATGCTTATGAAATTGAATATGACTTGATTAGACAAAGTGTTTATGCAGGTGCGGGTCTGCAAGAAAGTGAGTGTTTTTTTCATTTCTTTGTTCTCAGTCTTTTTAATTCTCACCTGCGTGCATGTTCAGAGTGTTGAAATCTTTGAGACAACTGATGTGCTTGAGTAGTTTGCCAGAACACCATTGCAGCTTCTCAATATTGAAGTAAACTTTTGAGGAGATAATTCTGTGAGCAGGTTTGGAAAAAAAAAAAAAAGGCCCAGTATTTTCCACCAAAAATGATCTCCCTCATTTTTCTCATTTATGGCTGTATGTTTATGGCAGCAACACTTGCTGAATGCTTTTAAAATTTTATAAAGACGAACCCAGGCCTTTGCATGTTTCACATCTCAACAGCTAAATAACACAGATGCTCTCTGCAGATATTTGCAGTAATGCAGTCAGACATGGAGTTTTATCATCTGATCTCAGTAACCTTTTACTGTGCAAGAATTACAGCTCTGCTCTGACTTCCAAGTCCAGTCACTGCAGCATGCAGGCCTTGACTATGTGTTGATGTATCATGCTGTGTTACCCTTGCTGTTTGAAGGTCTCTTGTGTGAAGAAGACATAAATGAATGTAGCTCCAGCCCATGTTTGAATGGAGCCCAGTGTGTCGATGACAAGAACAGTTACCACTGCACTTGTGCAGAAGGGTTCACAGGTACACCGTTTCTTGTTTAAGCTAGCCTTCACTCTTTCTGCCCAGAAAAATGCCTGCCTACCCTGGCCATAGTATTTCAATGTTATTGCCTTATGTTGCATATATTTTGGGTTGAACTGGATGCATTAGCATTTCCTAGGTCCATGTAGTTCTCTGTAGTGCCTGTAGAGCAACAGTGTTACTTCAGAAGGATCTGTTGGGTGGTATGTTTTCTCTTCCTAGCTTTGTTGTGACCTTACTCTGTGGCATAGCTTTGGACAAAATTTTCTGTATTAAAGCTACTCCCAGTCTACTACTTAGCTTTCCACTGCTTTCGCATGAAACAGTTTTCTCCAGATTTCCATAACAGCCAGGCATCTCTGTTGATTTGCCAGGTTGCCAAAGAGCTATGCTGTGAAGTCACATGCAGTTGCTTCATTCTTCTGTGCTTGTAATGTGGAGCCTCCTTCCCAGCAAGAATCCCAAAGTCATGTGTGTTTGGCTTTTACATTTCACTGTGGAGTCAGGCTTCCAGCCTAATTTCTTTTTGTGGTAGCTTCTCATGAGTTGCTCATTTCTCAGGTGCTTTCCTAGGTCAGCCTAAATGACTCAAATAATTGGCAATATCCATTTAGACACCCAACATCACGCTGAGCGTTCATTTCTGCGACTGCAAAAATGATTCCTGTGTCTCCTGTATGGCCACCTTACATCAGTTAATGGAGTAAATCTAGAACCTGCTTAGCAACACTGATGTTTGCCATTTCCCATAAAATCGTTTATTGGCAAGAGTCCTGAGAAACCAGGAATGGGTTCCTGACCTTCTTTCTCAGATTAAATCAAGGCGGAGCTGTGACTTTGTTCTTTTCTTCTTAGGTGCTCGTTGTGAAGTGGAGGTCAATGAATGCCTTTCAAACCCGTGCCTTAATAGGGCTGTTTGTGAGGATCACATTGGCAGTTTCTCCTGCAAGTGCCTTCCAGGTTTTACTGGTGTCTTATGTGAAAGAAACATCGATGAGTGTCTCAGCAGACCCTGTAGGAATGGGGCTACGTGCAGAGATGGTATCAACAGCTTCAGGTGAAAAACAGATGATTAATGCAATGCAGTGTAGAAAGCCAGATACATTGTGGTGCATGGGCCTCCTTAGATTTCAGCAAAGGGCTCAACAGCCTGATCGAATAAATGGACCCCTTATCTTCTCCAAAGGAGATTTTAAAAGGGAAGAAAAACCCTGGTGTCTTCACCTGTTAGAAAATGCTGAGATAAACACCAAAGAGAATATGCAGAGTTAGATGTGTAAGAATGGTAGGACTGTGTACGGCGTGAGAGAGTTGAGTGTTGTTCTGCCAAAAGAAGTCCACTTTCCCAAGCCCCAAGGACTTGTCTTGCGTTCCGCTAGAACTGTCAATGACGACAGGTTGTGTACCTGATAATATTACCTCTTTGGTGACTGCAAGACAGGGATCGCTGTAGATATTGAGAATGCAGGGACTGAGCTGTAAACATTGATGGAATCTTCTGAAGATTTCTTTTTATTCTTTCAGGCTACCTGGACTCAGATCAGAAGTTACAAATACTGATAGCTGTGTCCTATCCTGGATCACCGTAGAGAGATGAGCCAGATGTTATTCTCTAAGTTTAATAACTCCCTCCTGCCCCAAGGCCCCGGAGGTTTTAATGCCTTCCTGATACCTTGGTTTTCACTCAGTATCACTGTATCTGTACTTGCCAAGTTGAATAGCTCTGATTTGTAATTCTGTGGACTCCAGAAGGCCCACTTTGCTAATGGGAATCTAGTGATTGTCTCTCCCAGTTTCATATGAAGTAATGCAGATGTTATGTTTAAGTATGTTATTGTCCCTCTCAAGAGGAAAAACAGTGCAGCCCAGTCATACTTAAAAGGAGCATCCAAAATAAAACTCTGTAGTATTTATTCTGTAGAGTTCTCAGTATATGCCATTCCCATTGGTGGAACGGACGTTGTGGCGAGGACTTTTTATCACAGCGGCCACATTTGAAGTATGTTTCTCTTCTTCTCCCTAGGTGTCTGTGTGTGACAGGATACACAGGACTGAACTGTGAAATGAACATCAATGACTGTGACTCCAGTCCCTGCTTAAACCAAGCCACCTGTGTGGATGCCTTGAACTCGTACGTTTGTAAATGTCCCCCTGGCTTTACAGGCAGCAGGTGTGAAACAGGTACACAGGACCAAAGTGTCAGAAAAAGGTGGCTTTGGGCGAGATTTGCACTGGCTGAACTGGTTTTATACAGCTTGCCCAGAAAGCAGCTAGGCGTAGTGGGTCTCTGAGAATCTGAGTGGAGCCTGTGTGACTGCAGTGTAACTGTAATTGCAGACAAGTAACAGCATATGTGCTGTGATTGTGTTTTTATTCCTTTCTCTTTTCTTAAAGGCACAAGTCTATCTTTTTAATACCAAGAAGGCTTATCAAGTTTGATTTGGATTTGCTCCGTATATCTCATTTAATTAGCTCTTTGTGTTCCTTTTATTTTGTTTGCAACTTTGCATCACAAGGTTAGAGATGAGGGCATGGTAGTCTCAACTTTAAAAGTTCTGAGAGCATCAAGTTCCCTACATGGGGGCAAAGCAGGCCTTATACTCACCTGATGTTACTCCCTGGGTGGCTGTGAAGTTATTCTGCACATTCATGGAGCTCAACTCTATTTGTCTTTTAGCTAATCCATAAAATAATTGTACTATCTTGTACCTGTAGCTGATGGATCTTCAGATGGAAGCTGAGAAACCTGTGTTAGTTTCTACAGAGATAGTGGAGGACATACGGGTCGTTTAGATCACATCTTATGTTTAAGTTTAAGTAGCACCCAGCTTTCAGGAGAGCCTCATTTGGTGCATTTGCACATAGTAGTCTTTGAACTTCACTGTAAAGCATGTCACTCTGCACTGAATGTGAGCACCACAGGAGTGCTGTTCTACATCAGTGCGGTATATTTCAGTCATTCCAGAACAGAAACAGTCTTTCTCTCTGTTTCTTTTTCTTTATCTGTTTAAATCTTGGCTCCTATAGATGAAATGCCCTTCTAGGTTGATGGACGGACAGATGGATTATCCATTCATGGTAGAGGATGAAAAGCACATCCAGTGCTATACAAGGTTCATGTTTGTTCTCTGTTAGACTATCAGTGCCTTTTCCAGTGGTACTTTTTCAAATGCTGTGTGTTCTCTTGCCTTGGAAAGCTCTGTGTGCTGGTCGGTGCCAGGCTGGTAGACGTTCTTTCTAGCTCTGACCAATATAAAGTTTAATATTTTTGTGGGTGGATTATATTCTACTTTACTGCATCTGGTTAGATTCCATTTGATTTATTTCTGTGTTTGTAAGAATATAGCTCTAAAAACTCTTCTTGTTGTTGCAGAACAGTCCTCTGGTTTCAATCTTGATTTTGAAGTCTCTGGTATCTATGGATATGTCATGCTTGATGGTGTTCTCCCATCTCTTGGTGACATCACCTGTACGTTCTGGATGAAATCCACTGATACCACAAACTATGGGACTCCCATTTCTTATGCAGTGGAAAATGGAAGTGATAATGCATTTCTGCTGACAGATTATAATGGGTAAATCACAAATCTGCTTTTCTCTAGCTTACACCTGTCTTTACTTGGTAAAGAAAGCACAGGCCAAAAGTCTGAATATCAGCTTTGCCTACTTTGTAGCTGGATTCCCCTTGTGTTGTTTTCTCATTATTTTTTTTCCTCCACTTTTTGCCAATACAAGCTTAACAGCAAGAAAGCAATGAAGTTTAAAAAACAGGATATTTCCCGTTGGATTATATTTACATCATATTTAAAAGATGCGTTGAATCAATGACTGGGTAGAGCTGGAGCTCAGCACTCAGAGTACTTGTAGATGTGATTCTCAACAGAGAGATAGATCAAGGGACAAGTTTAAGAATCCTCTATGCAGCCATGGCTTCAGACTTCACATTTTGGTGCAGGACACATTACTTATTCACCACACTTTGCATATGGTACTGGTCACTTGCAAGTTCTCTCAAAGAGTACAAATACTTCAGGAGAGATTTTGTGTGTGAGGTGGACAAAGTTACCCCATTTAGCAAACGACATTTCTTTGTGTAGTGTGGGACAGGCTGTACTCTTCCAGTTGCTACAAACAATTGAGTATGCCTTCATCTTCCTCACCATGCAGCTGGGTTCTTTATATAAACGGGAAAGAGAGGATCACAGACTGTCCTTCAGTGAATGATGGTAACTGGCATCACATTGCAGTCACGTGGACGTGCACGGATGGGGCATGGAAAGTGTACATTGATGGAAAGCTGTCTGACGGAGGCAGTGGGCTCTCAGTTGGCTCAAGAATCCCTGGTATGCTTTATTTACGTTACACTAGATCTTTTTCCTCTTTCCTTTTCTTATTGCAGAGTTTGCAGTGCCTGCAAGGATATGTTTATTTTGATGTTTCTAGTATGTTTTCATGTGTTCGGCATTGATACAGCGCTCATGTTTGCTCTTCTTGTTCATGAGGACAGTTCCCTTACTCAGCTGCAGGGAAGACAGTGTGATCGTTTCTAGGGTAAAGTAGTAGGCCACTTGTTTTGGGGGTGACAAAGTTTAGCCTGTAAAGAAGCTTGTTCTGAACTGATTTCAGAAGGGTTTTGTGGGAGCAATTCATGCTTGCTCCTGTTTGCAGGTCGTTTCCCAGTTTTTATACGCACTCACCTCAGTCTAGAGTAAAGCTTCCCAGAGGTTTGCTGAGAGAGTTTCTTGGAGGTGGCTGGTCTCCCGCCCTAGAAAACCTCGGTAACCTGAGCTAGATTTTTTTTTTTTTTTTAGTTCTTCTGTGGGGATCCCTGCTGTGAGGCTTTGTTTCCTATCCCTGTTCTAATTCTCTCTGAGTTTAGGTGGAGGTGCCCTTGTACTGGGACAAGAACAAGATCAGAAAGGAGAAGGATTCAACCCAGCGGAATCGTTTGTGGGCTCCATCAGTCAGCTCAACATTTGGGACCACGTCCTGTCTCCGCAGCAGGTAAGTCCTTGCTGCAGTGTTTTGAGCACAGGGCTCTGAGGCCAGGATGGGCATGTGAAAATGCATTCCAAGTTAACTTATTGGACAGACTTTACTCTGTTCCCACAGAAGCCACTGGGGATGAGAGAAGGCCTTGGCTCAGAGTAATAAGCTTAGTGTAGTAAGAAGAGTAGCTTTAAGCAAACCTAAGTAAGGTAAAATCAACGTTGAAGTCGCCATCTTTTTTGACCTAGCCTTTCCACATTAAGTGGTTCTGAAAGAAAAACAGAGACGCACAAAAGCTAGTAACCATATTAGAAGAGGAAGAAAACTGAATGAAGTGTGCTCGGGGCTTGCTTTACAAGTTTCGATTCCCTTATGTTGCTGTGTGAAGGCATTGGTAAAACTTCAGAAGTGAGGGGTCAGAATTTCAGCCAGTGCAGCAGACACTGTGAAAATTCTCTGAACGGTATTGTCCAGGGAAAAGTCTGAATGATCAGCATCACTAAATATTAGGCTGCTTTTTTTCAGGTACTAAAGGTACGGGTTTGGTGCTGAACTGTACAAAATTACGAAATTACCATGGATGGAAGGGACCGTGAGAGGTCTCTAATCCAGCCTCCTGCTTTAGCAGGGTGAACACTGAAATCAAACAGGGAACTCAGGGCTTTGTCCAGTCAGATGCTGAAAACCTACCAAGGACAGAGATCTCACAGCCTCTCTTGGAGACAGTTCCAGCGGCTGATTGTCCTCAGAGTGGAGGTGGTCCAAATGGGACTTCCCACTTCAGTTTATGACAACTATCTCCCTCTCCCACCACACAGCACTGTGAAGAGCCTGGCTCCATCTCCTTGATGGTCTGTCTACACCAGGAGGCTGCTGTTAGGTGCCCCTGAAGCTCTCTCTTCTCCAGGCTAAACAAGCCCCAATCTCTCTTCAGAGGGAAAATTTTCCAATCCTTGACCTTCTGGGTGGCCTCCCTTGAACTTACTCCAATTTATTGATGCATTTTTTGTCCTGAGGAGCCCACAGTGGGATACAGTACACCAGGTGCGGTCTAATAAGTGCCAAGAAGAGGGGATAACCACTCCCTTGCCCTTCCAGCTGTGCCTGTGTTCACGCAGCCTAGGATGCTGTTGGCTCTTGTTGCTGTGAGGATGCACTGCTGGCCTGTGATCAGCTTGCTACCCAGCAGAGCCCCCAGGGCCTTTTCCACAGAGTTGCTCCTGAGCCGGGTTGTCCCCAGCCTATATCACTGTAGGGGATTTTCCTTCCCATTTGTCCCTGTTGAATTTCATGGGGTTCCTATTGGCCCGTTCCTGCAGCGTACTGAGGTCCCTCTAAATGGCACTTGTGTCCTTGAGCATGTTGGCTGGTCCTCTAGTTTGGTGTTGTCTGTAGACTTGATAACAGTGTACTCCACTGCCTGCTCCTGGTCATAGCTAAAGATATTAAACAGTATTTCAATCCTGAAGGTCATAAATGATGAATCTATTGGTAAAACCTGAGCAGCAAGGACTAGTGTTTAAAGTCAGAGGCATTTCTTGGGAGGGAGGGGGTTGTTTTTGCTCTTCTAATGTATTTTTAAGGTTTTGCCACTGTTTGGTTTTTTATCACTATTTGTTATCTATGGTCCAGATAAAAAAATAATCAAATTAACAGGAAATTGAAAAGAAGCTCGGCAGAATCTTTGCTTCTAGCATCCGAACGTCTCCTCTGTTTCCCTCTTCCTTTCTTTACATCTTTGATTTTCTGCTATGTTCAGAAGTACTAGCAATCTGCTAATATTCTTTGCCTCTTGGGCCATCAAGTGCTGCATTTCCAAGTCAAATCTTTGGGTTTTCATATACAATAGCAATGTTGAGAAAAAGAAGCACACATGTGATTTTACAGGACACACTGATGAAGAATTTAAGTGGGATTTTCTGAGGCCACTTAGAAAATTTCTCAGGACTGGCCTCTCTTTAATGCTCCTGACAGGCTTGGTAAAATTCCTGTTGGCTACAGCAGTAATACGGTTAGGCCAAGAAAGAAAATCCTGCCTTTCATCTATGGTATCTGTGCTCTTAATCTGAAGACAAATGTGACAGAGGCAGGGAAATGAGCCAAGTAAGCTTCCTATTAATTTTTTACCTTTTTTTTTTTTTTAGAGCTTGGGGAAGTAAATCACTATCATTATCTCTGTTATTATCAGTTAGGTTCTAGCCAGCTGCAACTATTCAGTAAGTCTTCTTTTCCTGTTCTCAGCTAAAAAGAAAACTGAGGCAAGAGAATATGTTGCCAAGAAGATAACTTAAAGGCTAAATCCACTCTTTAAAACTTTTCTGTGTATACTTGAGTTGCCCATCCACTTTCACATTAATTTTGTATAGGTAAACCAACGTTCTGGTTGCTTGTTGTTGAGCAGGGAGCAGCAAAAATATGAGTTGTTGTGAGGTCCTTTCCTGCCCTTCAGCCCTCTCCATACGGCTTGGAAGGACTGATTCCCACACCTGCCTGGCTGGCACTGGGGGATTTTCCATGCAGATTGTTTGCAGCTCTTGGCCTAAGCAGTTCACATCCGCACAGGCAGTTGAGGTGAGATCTCTGAAACAGCTCCAGAGTAAACAGGTCTGGTCACTGTTGTCTCCGGTTAAGCTGGCTCTGCACTCTGATCAGCCCCAGTGGAGCTCAGGACAGGGAATGTGAGAATAATTCGGTCTGAGGTTCACGATGTAGCTTCCCTCCTCCCAGAGAGAGCCAGCGTAGCACAGTGTTTTTGGCAGCTGATTTCGTCCACTGGAGACTGGACAAAAGCCAGTCACCCTTCAGGGAAAGGCAGTTTCCCAGCTGTTCAGCATGGGCCTGGCACACCTGTGCTTTTTAACCAGCTAGCTCTGCCCTGAAGCCGTGCTGCATGTACTGCAGGGGTAAGCTGCCTGTGCTGAGAGGTACACAGCCTATTGAGCTCTTTTAATTCATTCTTTCATGCAGCTAAAGAAAACATTCCTTTCTTCCTGCCAGGGAATGACTGGAATGACCCTCCAGCACAGGACAACCATGGAGTAGGAAGTCAGCTCAGTAGCCTAATTACTAACATGTTCTCTTAACTGAATAACCGTCTTTTCTCTGTAGGCCACTTTGCGCTTTGATGTGTTGACAGAAGAGGAAATCCTTAATTATCCTTTTATTGCACCTTTGTCCTCCTCAGGGCATGTGTATTATTTTAAGTGGTTGCATGGGTCAGATAATTGCTTCTTCCACGATAGGGAGAAATATAATAGAGAGTACTATACCAATATTACACATTAGAATTGGGTTTTAAGCCTTTCCTCGTACTGTATTTCCTTTCTGTTCTTGGAGTTACAGTGAGCAAGGGTAGTATAGTACAGAGTGATTCCAAAGCCCTGGTTCTTTCATTTGCATTTTTAAGATGCTTTTATGTAACAGAAATTTCCCTGGGCATCCAATGGAACTAGTCAACTGCCTTTTTGGACAAACGTCACAGTCAGGATATCAGAGTTCTTTGCAGGGGACCACAGTCTGGTCACTATTTATGTGACGTCTTGTCAATAAGAGTCTGTCTGCATATTTTCACTGCTACCTAGGATTCACAGTTGGTATCTGAAAAGCTTAATAGTTCGTTGACATGTGGATTTATGGTCCCCAAGTTCCTGTTACTGGTTGCCAGACAGAAATATGATTACGTTAGTATGTTTAATAGGTTGTGAGGTTCACAACGAGGAAGTAGAAGCATTTTAAGCTTATTGAAATAAAATTGCTGGCATTAAAATAGGACATGGAAACAACTCGAGGTTTCCCATTAGCATTTCAATGTAGTTCCCCCAGGAGTTCCATTAAAGGAGTTGTGTTTTAAATGGGAAACTTTTCCATCAGAGATGTTTGACCAGATCTGTTCGCGAGATACTGACCTGCTGCTGATCTAACAATGTATTCCTTTCTTTCTCCTGTCCTCATTTTGCCTGTTCCCATTTCACATTCAATACATGGTTAGGTATGGCCGTGTCCTGCCTCAGTTGAAGTCAATGCCAAAACCACCATTAGTACTGGTCTAGGTATGTCTTGCCTGCAGTGTTTTAAAGAGCCACAGGATTGCCTAGTCTGTTGAATTCACAAACCTCTTGTTCTGGCGACAGCAGATTGCTTCATTTAGTGCTCCTTTTTTGTGTTTCTAGTCCTTAAATGTGGTGCTGTCATATCACTGTTTGAGGAGTGCGGCTCTTTAACTTTCAGTTCCTCTTGGCTCCCATTTGACACTTTTCTGCAAATACATCAGGTTTTCTGTTCAGGTTCTGTCCACATATCTGCCTTGTCTGTGACATAAATACATTCTTCTTTCCCACTAGCGAGCACAACATTGTTTCAAGGATTACGTTTCATATTTTGCTTGTATGACAAATATTCCTTTAGGTATTGCCCCCCCTGTAGGGGGTACATGCCCCCCTACAGCTCGCAGGCTTATAAATACAGCAATTAGTTTGACCAGAAATTTTTGGTGCTAAAAAGGAAAAGCATTGCTTTCTCAATGATCTATTTTAATGCTGCATGCAGGTGTGGAAGGAATATTTGTTTGCATTCTTTTCCTAGGAGGTCCTTAAACAGCACCTAATCATTTGTTTTAAATCCATAGGTAAAATCTCTGGCTACATCCTGTCCAGAAGAACTCCAAAAAGGAAATGTACTAGCCTGGCCAGATTTCCTGCCGGGAGTTGTTGGAAGAGTGAAGATAGATTACAAGAGTGAATTTTGTGCTGGTTAGAACTTTATTTCCTAGAACCCTTTTTGTTTTGAGCAATATCGTAAGAAGACTGTCTTGTAAGGTTAAAATGTGTTGGCTTGCAGCTTTTGCCCTACTAGACTTGAATAAATTATTTTGATAATTTAACATTTGGAACATTCAGTCCTTCGTTCCTCAAATTCCAGGGTTTTGTAACAAAAGTTCACTGTAATCTCAGACAGAGATTTATTGCTTCCTGAATTGAGATGTTGAAAGAATGAAGATGCTGTTAGGTCAGAAAAAAGATTTACTGTCCTTTCTACTAAAAATAGTTGGAGTGTATTATAGCACCTGTGGCCTCCTCACCACTTTTCTTATGGATTCCTTTTCTGATCTTCCATGTTGCTGATTCTCAAAACCCTTTGAATCTGAGCGAGGCATAGATAGCATAACATTTCCTAAAACTTTCTCTTCGATAAATGTATACAGGCTCAAACAATCAGATGACAAATGTATTCGTTTCAGCACTGCATCTCATATTCCATGCGTATACTTTGTCCACAGACTGCCCAGCCTTGCAAGGATCCATACCACATCTGCGGGCCTCTTCGACCGATTTAAAACCGGGGTCAAAAGTGAGCCTTTCCTGTGACCCAGGTTTCCAGATAGTGGGCAACTCCGTTCAACACTGCCTTAACCTGGGACAGTGGACCCGACCTCTTCCCCGCTGTGAAAGTGAGTTGTCTGAATGGGCTGGCAGGATTAGGAAATCTCAGCTTCCGTTTAGGTCTGCCAGTGTTCACAGCCTGTTTATCCCTGCTACAGCCATGCATCTTTGATGCGCTTGAATCCATCCATGTTATAGCATACACATGTATGCTTAAAGCTTAACTTCTGTTTTACTAAATGGAACTACCCTGTGGTCCAGTTCTACCATATTTTTCAGTCAGTTTCAAATGCCTGTGGCAGAAATTATCCATTTGGATCAGAGCTGTCATCCTCTGAGCTTTCCTCTCCAATGACACCAGGAGCATAGAAGATGGACAGGAGATGCTAGAATATCTATGCGATTTTTAGATATCGCTGAGAATGCCTGTTTTGAAATAAAAGCCTTGGCATTACGTATGTCATAGAATAAATTCTTTGATGGTAACGGATAATCCTTTCATGACTAAGAAGTGCTACAAGACTTGCAGAATTTCTTTTATGAAACTGGGCTTCAAACATTTAGGTTCACAGGGTTGCTGCCTTCCTGAATCCTATTTTCTCCGTTCCTTTGTCCTCCTCTATTGTGACTACACATCTGACTGCAGTTGTACTTGTTGTAGCTGACTGTATTTCTCATTTCAGCATAGTAGTACATGTGCTGCAGAAGCAGGCATTGCATGATCCCAGTCTCTACACCATTCAAATGCTCCCTGGTCTCAGATTTGTACTGTTCTTTAACTTCTCAGCAGTAACCTGTTAGCCAGCTTTGTAGTGCTGAAACAGAGTAACATTGAACTTATTTTTCAGTGAAGGGAAGTAATGGGAAACTGCCTGAAAGCAAATTTATTTTTGTTTTTTGCTTAAAATTCATTAAGGACCACTTTAGCATTGGGAAGGTTTCTTGTAAGCGAAGGGCATCTACTCAGATCTTAGTGTTGCGTCGCAGACCTCTTCTCCTGGCCTAGCAAAATGGCAGGAGCTGGAGAGTCCTGCTCATTCACTGTTTAACAGCTGTCCACAGAACAAGACCCTCCCCTGGAGCCAGAATCTATTAGCTACCTCAGAAAAGGTTTGGGCCCTCTTGTGGACATGATACCATAGTTGTTGCAGAGAATAAATCTCTGGTGGTGGTTCTGGCCTGGAATTACGCTTAAGTTAACCTTCCTATGTCTGATCTGCTAATATCTGTGCACTCTTTTCACTCATGTTTCAGGGATCAGCTGTGGAGTGCCTCCTCCTTTAGAAAATGGATTTTATTCAGCCGAGGACTTTTTTGCTGGCAGTACTGTTACCTACCAGTGCAATAATGGCTACTATTTGTTGGGGGACTCCAGGATGTTCTGCACAGACAATGGGAGCTGGAATGGCATTCCACCATCTTGCCTTGGTGAGATATGCCATACATGTAGCTGCATGGGCTAGTGATACTACCTGTGCCTTTGGGTTTGGGTGAGATTTGGTTCTGGTGTTGAGAAGGCTGCTCAGAATCTGAGGAATCATGCTTCAAACTGTTCATGTTACTGAAATCCAGTGCTCACCGTCTTGTCAGTCCAAGACTAGAGTCTTTCACCTTCCCCTCTCCATTCCCCTATATGTGCCAAACTCTGTGCTCCCTACTCAATAAGTCTGCCTCATACTCTCAGTCTGTATGCCCCCTCTCCTTCCAGGTTCTTTTAACCCTAGAGACCTTGCATCCTCTGCTTCTAACCTGTGCGTCTCGCTGTGTTTCGGCATGCCTGTCAGCAAGCAGCTGCAGGATTGAGAAATCTGGGAACAGTTAGGGCCACAGTCCAGATGTTTACCACATCATAACTAACTTGCTGATCAGGGATCTGACATACCAGATGCAGCTGCAGGAGCCGAAAGGTGAGAGCACCTGTAGCGTTGTATTGCACACAAAGGACCAGGCAAGTTAGGTCTTGTTAGGGACATTTCTCCAGCCAGTCTCAACTAGAATCCACTAGCTAGCTGTGGTTGCCTTGCTGCGTAAGCTGCTGTTTTAGTCATGCCTAACGTGTGAGTTACAGGGTAACAGCTTGACATGATTTGCATTGGATTTAAGTGGTTGCTCTATCTAAACCAGTAGGTACAGTACAAGTGCAAGATGAACAAAAGCAAAGCCAACAGCCTTTTAGCTCTGCCAAAATTTCCTATGGAGCAGGAGCATCCCTCTTCTTCCTTTGGAGGTACTTCAGAACCTCCAAACAGACAACACAGTCAATTGTTCTACTCGTTTTTCTGTCCTGAGCTTTATAGCAAGGCACAAAGATGAGCAGGCTTGGAACAGATGCTGGAGGGCTGTCCATGTCATTCCACATCTGTGCAGTAGGGAGCATGAGTTGGGAAGGAAACAGCCTGTGCTCCACCTTACAGCTTGCCTTGACCTCCTAAAGCAGAGTAGAGTGAGTCTAAAATGAAACCAGGAATGGGGTTGGCACCTTGGCCAACCCTTTGCTTTCCTGATGCATGCTCCAGGCAGGTGGCAGCAAATCATGGCACACCTGTTCCCTGGAGCATCCCTTTTGCTCTGGTATGAATCTGTTTCGTAGTGCCTATCCTCTCTTTCTCACCATACGAAATGTTACATGAAGAACAGCCATTCCTGTTCTGTTGTGGTAGCATGTTGCATTCTCCTGATGCTTATGTAGTTGGCAGCTAGTTTGATTTTCATGAGCGCTTTTAATCCTGCATGTCAAAGAGGAATACCCTTTCGGTGCAGAGTGTAGTTGGTTCTTTCATGCTGACCAGATTCATTCAGCAGAGAAGAATGAACACACCAGTGCCATAGACTAATTTTTATATTTGCTCCATTTGCTCTGCGTTTTTTGCTTGGAAACAGTCTCTGCATTTTTTGCCTGGAAATGGACAAAGAACTCCAGCTATGTGTTTGACTGTAATAACAATTCAACAGCTGTCCTGTAGCAGACCTTTTAAATGAAGAATTGTTCTGTTTTCTAAAACTCTAGTTTGTATGAGGAATAATCCCTGATGCTGGCATTTTTCAGTGAGATGCTTCCAAATTGACCCCTCACAATTTATGACTCATTGTTTACATACCAGGACATTTCTGTACAGTCAGAATTTGAAAGCTGATGTGAAGTGATCCGGAGCCAGGGATTTGTTCTGCTGTACAGTGCTGAGCCACATGGAGCATAAATGATCAACTGGCGTTTCTAGGCACTATTGTCATATAAATAATTAATCATAATAACTAATACATTTTGAATTCATTTTAACCTTTCTGGCAACTGCTGATACTTCTCATTCTTAGTCTAGCAAAGTTCTGTTCCATGAAGACCGCACTTTTCTTGTATTTTATGTTCTAAGTCATTCCCCTCTTGCCTAAATTTTTCTGTCTTACAGGTGGGAAGTTTGAGGCACAGAGAATTTCCAAGCAAAGCAGTTAATGCAAAAGAGTCTTCCTTTCTAGTGTCTTTCCAAACCAGCAGATAACAGCCCATGAATTGAGATATCTGTTCGTTTACTAATGGGAAACAAAATACTTTTTGTGGAAATACTGGCAAAAGGATAATAAAGGGTTGTCTCTGACTTTTCCATTGTTTTATAATATTTTATAGTAAATTTACCAAAAATGCATAAATATTACGACTATCTACCGTGGCGTCAATGATGTGATTGAATTAAGGGTGATTCTTAATTGTACTAATTAAAGAAATTCCTTCTGCCAGTGACACAGAAATTTGAATCAGATGTTTACTCCAAGTACCAACCAAGAGACGTCTTTACTGTACCAACCAAGAGACGTCTTTACTGTATTTTTTTTTTTTCTGGTAGATGTTGATGAGTGTGCTGTTGGATCAGACTGTGATGAACATGCATCTTGTCTTAACACAAATGGATCCTATGTTTGCACTTGCATCCCTCCACACACAGGAGATGGTAAAAAATGTGCAGGTATGGGAGACAAAAACATCAAGGTAGCTTTTCTGAGGTTCTTTATAGGTCAACATCCTGCCTCCCTCTGTGGAGGACAGTTGCCAGTGATGTCTGGGTGTGCTGCAGTGGGCTTTCCCTCGAGGAGGAGAAGCTGATTGTGAAATGTGTTTGCTCTGACCTTAAATGCAAATAGTCAGAGTGCTCAAACTGTGAGTGCAAACTCTTCTGCATTGAAATTAATTTACTTGCATCAGCCTTCAGTGCCTCTCGCTTGCACACAGAATGGGAAAGCTGGCAAACCTGGAGATTACTTATGAGTGTTTTGCACGTATTCTGCCTTCTTACTTTCATGAAATTCCTAAGGATATCTCCTGCAGCTGTTTTATAAGACCTGGTACTTAACGATGCTATTAGTCAGTTGTCTCTTCCTTCTCAGAACCGGTGAAATGCTATAATCCAGGAAACCCAGAGAATGGTCACTTATTTGGGGACGCTTACAGTGTTGGCAGTGAAGTAACTTTTTCCTGTGAAGAAGGATTTCAGCTGACAGGAATAACTAAACTTACATGCCTGGAGTCTGGAGAGTGGAGCCACCCAATACCATATTGTGAAGGTATTGTTCTTGGGGAGAAGGCTTGTTGTAATGTGCATTGTTAGAGAGATGGAAAGGGGAGACAAGTAGTTTAAAGAGCAGAGGAGCTAATGAAACCTTGGCCCAGGGGACCTGGATCTTAGGATTGAAGTCTCTGTTGTCTAAAGAGATGTAAGCACCGGTTGAAGCTTTTCCCGTAGTTACCATATTCACAGTGTCGCTATTATGCAGGTTCTCCAAGGTCTCAAAGAATCATATCATTGCCTTCCGTAGAGTAAGCATTAAAAGTGTCTTTCCACTCCACCCAACTCCCTGTTTTCAAGGAACTTGTAGGAGTTTAATATCTTAAAGACCACTGACTATGTTTCAGTGGAAAAGCAACCAGAGAAGACAGGCTGGTACACATGCATATACCTGGCATGACTGTGAAACTTTTTTCCTTAGAAAACCATGACTAATAAGGTGAAGCAACAGGGTAAAAGCAATGGGAAAGAACAAACCAAAGTCATTTTGAGCTGGAGTCCTCCTGACAGTTTACCCAGTAGATTGTGGAACAGTCTCAACTATCTATTTCCAGTTAGTCAAACTTCTCAGTAAGTTTGAAGACAGATCACGAGCCCGAAAATGTTAAATCAGTTATAACTTAGCCGAAAAGCCAGTGTTGCTAAGGACTTTAGATCTCTTCATGCTCCTTTAATGAAAACACAGCAATCCTAATTTTCAGGTCTCTTTTATTTGTGTTATATCAACCTCTCTTGTGATCCCGTCTTTTAAAGCTATATCCTGTGGTGGTCCAGTTATTCCAGAGAACAGCGCCATTTTGGGCTCAAATTTTACATACCGCAGTAAGGTGATATACAGGTAGGAATTCAGTATGTTTGGGATGCTACCTTAATAATTCATTGAGAATCTGGGCAACAAATGAGAAAGAGTATGGCTGAACTCAGAGAGTGATTAAAGTAAACAGAGGGAGAAGAGCACAGTGGGATAAAAATAATGGAAAGATATTTGGATAAAACTGTTGAAAACTAGCAGAGTTGAATGTTTAGTCCAGTGTTCACTCTCTGTGCTCTGCAGTGAAAGTTGGTGTATCAAGATGTGAAAACAAAAGCAAAGGGGAGGCTGATTGCAATGTTCTGAATAAAAAGCTCTGTGTTTGATAGTGGTTCTTTTCTTCTAACATAGATGCAATGATGGCTACAACTTAGTGGGAGCAAAGGAAATTCTGTGCCTTGCTAGTGGCGTTTGGAATCATCCTCCCCCCTCCTGTGAAATAGTAACGTGTCCTAGTCCAGAAGATGTCAGCAATGGAAAATACGTGCTCAGTGGCACAACCTACCTTTCCTATGCATCGTATACCTGTGACAGTGGATACAGGTAAATACGGGAACATTCCTGAGTCAGATGCAGGCAACATGCATGTTGAATAAAAAGACTTGCTGGAATGTCTAACTTGTGTCGGAAATAGTCAAGGCTGGGATGATGGCTCACAAAGATGAAACAGTAAAATAAAATTTAAAGGCTTTTTAATCTTTGAGGTACTTTCTGTACTGCATGCAAACTGGAGCAGTTGCAAGAAAGTCATTTAGTATCTGCCATTTATATATATAATGCTTTCGCTTTACCATCAAGCTCAAACACAAATTTTGAATAGTCAGAAATTGGTTGTTGTTACGTTTGAAAGTTCTCATTCATTTTTAATGACTATCATATGCCTAATTATCTTTAGCGCACATGCAATATTATTTTTGCTGCTGTTTCACAATGCCCTTAATCACGCTGGTCAAAGAACCTTCTGAAAGTAATTCATATACTCCTTGAAAACTATATCATAATTATTTATTTTAAGCTTTTTTCTGTTTTACATTTGTAAATCAATTATGTTGTAAACACAGTTTTAAGAGGCTGCAATTAAAAATGAATACACCCATGCTATATGCAGGGATGTAAATTTAATTACAAGCTACTGCCTGTCCTTGATATCTGCTTGTCCCTCTAGCAGCTGTACTCTGACATGAGTGGTCTTACATGGGCCTATTTACGTCAGATTTTCTTCTGCGTTTTCCTGCTGCAGGAATGTTCAGATGCGGGCAGGTAGATGAGGCATACTCACCTGATGAATGTTTTAATCGTTCTAATATAAATGAGTAGTACCTAAGCTGAAGCACAGTGTAATGTTAGGTTGTAGATTCAAAGTGTGGGCTCAGTTGTACCCCGCTAACTGAGTAGGTGCTTTTACTGATTTGAATGAGTTTTTTGACTGTGGAGTCAGGACATCTGGGCAATAAATAAAACAACAGTTGTGAGTCTTTCCCTGTCTAACCTTGGCTAGTGAAAGAAGTCCTCTGTCTTTTGGTCACCGCTGAAGGGAAAGCCCTCCCACACCATGTCCCTCTTATGCATTGGGTCTAGGCCTAATTGGGTCTAGGCCTGGGATGGTCCCAGTGTCTTCCTGCAGGCACTTTTCTGTGCTTTTTGTCTCACCCATATTCCTGCATGGGGGCAGAGCCCACTGCCCTGACAGGGGCTTATGCCTCGTTTGTGAGGACACTATGAGTCAATATCGTTGTCTTCTTTTAGCCCTTGAGCTCAATTTAATAAGCCTGAACATGGATATCTAGTGCCATTTAAGACTGAATTCTAAGGAATTGGAGACAGCTGTGTAGATATGACATGGGACCTACTGGGGACCACAGCCAGCTGACATGGCCGCTGGAGGCCAGGGGGATTACCCAGGGGGATGCCTGTTTGAGACAGTTGAGTCCTACCCTGTGTACCCACGCAGTGCTGTGTTTCCTTAGCTAAGGAGACTAAAGAATACCATTAACTTCAAATGTATGTGGCCGTTCAATCAAGCAAAATCCTTTTTCTCCTGAAGGAACTTAATGCCTTTTTGTACACCAACCTGAACCTCAGAATTTCTTCCAGTTTTCTGAGTGAAGGTAGCGTTAGAGTCTTTGAGTGAATCAGGTCTCCGTTGTGTCAAGGTGGGCATAGTGATGATGGCATACAAATAAATCTTCAAGCTTAAGTAAATATTTAAGCGCCCTATGGCCTTCTTTTATAGCTCAAAACGGGCAAAGCTACAGCAGAAGTTCTGTACGTTTGCATGGTGTGTTCAGACCCCACATGAATTACGTCAGCTTTCTCTTCAAAACGGTTGAAGACCAACTCCACTAAGGGCATCAGCAGTGTTTCTTCAGAGATCCTGGCCTCCGTTGAAGGGACTCCCCTTAGCTTCACTGGGGCCAGGAAATCTGTGAGGAGCAAGGTCCTTTTTGCTCCCAGTTCCTTACTGACCAAAATGATGGCCTTGATAATGGTCTTTGTGTCTCAGCCTTCAGGGACCCTCTGTACTTGTCTGTGAATCTTCAGGCAACTGGAACAGCACACCTCCAGCTTGCAGCATTGTCTCTTGTGGACCCCCTCCTGCCATCAAAGATGCAGTCATCAATGGAAGTAGCTTCACTTTTGGAAACACAGTCTCTTACATGTGTAAGGAAGGGTATGTAGATGAGTGCTACTGGGGTAGTACTCGGGACAAGTACAACTGGTGCAGGCCACACAGACTTGTTGGCAAAGCTGTGTCCTTTACTGCTTCACAAGTCCTTTATAAATGCACACTAATGCATTTTTACAGTGTCTCTTTGAACTGTCTGGAAATTAAAGGTGTTGGAGGGTTTTTGTGGTTAGAATGGCAGGTTAGTATGGGTCACAAGCAGGTACTTCTCCAAGCAGTCAAGTTGGATCCAGCTGAAAACACCCTGGAATAGGAGAGTGGAGAGGAGTCAGGTGGCTAAATGCATGATAGAGCAGTACAATAGGCATCCCTTTACTTTGGAGTTACTACAGAGCCAGTACTTCTGTGGTAAACTCAAGGCCCTGATTATAAAGAATTCTCCACTTCTCTTCACACCATATCAGGGCTAATTGGTGTGTAATGAACACTAACCTAAGTGTTCTGGTGTGGTAAATTCTGCTTCCTTAAAAGTATCACTTCCTATTTGTTGGGGTGCCTTGTTCATCTTTGATTTCTGCCTACTCAGTGTAGTTTTTGTATTGCTGTGAGCTTTACAGACTAAACTTCATCAGAGGAATGGTTCCGTTCTGGTGATGTCTAGCATGAATGTAATGCTGGCTCTGATCCTGCAAGAACTTTTGCACGTGCTTGTCTTTACAGCCTGTGAGCAGCCCCATTGAATTTCTTGAAGCGATTTTGCCCAAAAGGCAGAGCAGGTATGCAGAGCTTTGCAAGGTCAAACCCTAAATGATTGGAGGATTTTGTGCTCCTTCTTGGTGAAAAAAGGTACATGAATATGCCAGCATTTTTCTTACCAACTGGCTTTGCAGTATTATTTGAAATATAATTGAAACAAATCCTCCTTACTGTGTTTTCTTGACTGTATTAAGATTCAAAACGCTGCTTCTCTCACCTGGGCAAGCATTTTAAATGGGGTAGAATTTGAGAGAAAAAGAGAGCCACTGCTGCCTATGTGACAATGAATAGAGTGGATTATATTAAACATTGACGCTCTTTTTCTGCAATCCAGTCACGAGGCTCTGAAAACAAATCCTGCAAACAAGACAAAACACTTTTACGGATGTTGCCATCAAAATCTGAACAATCAGTTTCCAACCCACAGCTAGAAAGAGTCACTGGGAGCTTTGCAGTACGTGTTATTTCTTTGCTTTCTGTAGGAGCACACAACAGAGAATGTAAAGCAAAGCAAAAACAAAGTCAGATAACATATTGCATGTTTAAACAGCTGGGGTTTGTGTGGGACAATTAGCACCATGGAGTAATGCCTGTCATTACGCAGAGACAGGTTAGAGACATGCAACTACACTAACTGTAAACATGTAGAAGAACTTCATTGTAAAAGATTAGGGTTTTTTTTTCCTATTGAGTATTAGAAGCACGTGCTTTTACAGGGGGTTTAACAGTGAATTTTTAGGAAGAAGTTGTTACAAAACTACCATTTGCATTGCCATCAACAGCATTTCTGGGTAACTAAGGATTTTCTCGTTTGCAAGCATGAAAATAAATTGATATGCCTGGAACAGGGATCCAAATGACCTGTATGGATTTTTCATCTTTTTTTCTCCATTCAGATCTGCTAAAGGGGAAGAAATTCTGGGTAGGATCATTTCTTTTAGGAGTAGAGGGACTATCACAGCGCATTACTATGTTTGTTGTAGAAGAAAAGTTTGTACCAAAATGCGAGTTCAGGAATCGTAATTGGATGGGCAGACAAGCTGTCTCTCTGTCTTAAGAGGAGTAATGCATACAAGGGGTTCTAGGATCTCCCTCACTGGGATACCTCATCTGTGGACAAGCAGACTTTACGATTTGCATCTCGAATTTGATAGTATGTCTTGTAAAGGGTCCTATTCATCCATCCTGCAGGGTGCTAGCAAGCTTGGTCTATGGGGACTTCAGGAAGCAGTGGGTAGGGTTTCACGATGCTTGTCTTTTTGACTTCCTATGTGGTTTCCTTATCCACAGTTACACATTAGTTGGCCCTGCAACCATAGAGTGCTTAGCCAGCGGCGAGTGGAGCATGAGCCACCAGCAGTGCCTGGCAGTGTCCTGTGATGAACCACCCCATGTGGAAAATGCATCCCCAGAGAGTGGCCACCGCCTCTTTGGCGATATAGCTTATTACTTCTGCTCAGATGGCTACAGCCTGGCTGATAACTCTCAGCTTCTTTGCAATGCAGAAGGGAAGTGGGTGCCTCCGGAGGGCAGGGAGATGCCCCACTGCATAGCTGATTTCTGTGAAAAGCCATCCACCGTCTCCTACAGCATCCTGGAGTCCGTTAGTAAAGCCAGGTTTGCAGCCGGCTCGATCGTGAGCTTCAAGTGCATGGAAGGCTTTGTTCTGAACACTTCAGCCAAGATCGAGTGCCTTCGAGGTGGCCAGTGGAATCCTTCTCCTTTGAGTATCCAGTGCATCCCAGTTCGCTGCGGAGAACCTCCCCACATTAGCAATGGCTATGCCAGTGGGACCAACTACAGCTTCGGAGCAGTGGTGGCTTACAGCTGCAACAAGGGGTACTACATCAAGGGGGAGAAGAAGCGGACCTGTGAGGCCACTGGCAACTGGAGTGGCAGTTTGCCCACCTGCCACCCAGTGTCCTGTGGAGAACCACCCCAGCTTGAGAATGGCTTTATTAAGGTACAGAATGACTTTTCTCAGCTGCCTGATCCTGTAGCAAACTGGATGGGTCTTACAGAACTGCCACTGTTGTATTTTCTTTTTTACTCTCCTGCTAAAATTGAGGAAGGAGGTGACTGGAATAAACGAACAAAGGAAAATGGGATGTGTTTGTGGCAGAATCAAGTGTCTTGTTATGATTCAAAAATGTGGGCAATTTAATGGGATTTCGTTTCTTCAAGGGAGTTTTCAATTAGGAGACTCAAGAGATGTCCTATGACAACCAATTGATTTCCTTAAAGTCTCACTCTTCATTTGTCAGTCCATGGGCGATTTCCCATTGCCGTTTGGAGACATGTGCAGTCCTATTGTCCATTCACGAGCTGTGCTCTTTTCACTGCTAAAAAAAAGAATCTGATTTGAAATAGATTAATCGCTTTGGGATAATTTCTCTCCTTGGGATGCAGGCACACTTCTTTATTGAAATCAGAATTTGTCCTTTCCCTGTCTAATTAAGCTGCAGTACACCTAAAGGTAAAGATCTTGTGGCAGCCAAAAGCTGTAGCAGCTACTTGATGTGTTCTGTTTTGATGCACAAAGGGTAAGGAAGATCAAAGAACACTAGTGTAAATATTTAGCTTATTTTTTTCTTAAGCATTTTTCTTCTGAACTTCCCCTTCTTCCATATGTCTAGCCAGCAGGGACTCTACATTTGCTAAAAATTGAGGGGTTTTTTGCATCCCAGTTCCTACGTGAGCTTCCAGCATTAATAGCAACAACTTGTATTGAGATTCCCACCCAGATACATCCTCTAATCGTTGTATATCACTCTGTGTTGTCTTCCCTAGGCAGGATCATTCCTCCAGGTGTTCCAGTTAGAGACACTTTCTTAATACCTCAATCTCAGCTCAGCCTGCAACTTCTGCAGGTTCCTCAGCTGCCTGCTCAAGACCCTGCAACTACACACACGGCACTTGTAAAAGTCTCCTAGCAGTAGTACACCTGAAGGCTCCAGCCTGTAAGCTAACCTGTACACCTGTAAGCTAAACAGTCATAAAAGCTATAAGCCGTTTCCTGTCAGCTTCTCCTGGCCCGTTTCTTTTCTGTCTTCCTGGTTTATTGGCCTCAAAGGTGAAGAAGAAGGAATACAGAGGAAATGTTGTCTAGTTCTTACCTTTTAAACTGTGCATTTTCTCCTTTGTTTTGGTGGTGCCCTCAGTTCTCCTAACAGCAGAGTAAGTCAATTTGAGGCAAGATGTGCTGTGTCACTTCCAGTTATTTACCTTCTTTTCTTTGAAGACAGCCCTTGCTGCCTGGCACCCAGCTAGAAATTAGACCGAGAACACACAGGAAGCAAAATCAACCTCGCACCACCCCAATAATGGATCTTCATTTCAGACATGTCTCTGTCTTATCTGTTTTACAGGAAACAACTGGACGCTTCTTTGAGAATCAGGTGAATTATCAGTGTGAGTCTGGCTACCGGCTGGTTGGGAGCTCGGTATTTATTTGCCAAGCCAATCGACAATGGTACAGTGAATCACTTCCGCAGTGTGTTCCCCTCAGCTGTGGAAAACCTCCACCCATCCAGCATGGCTATGCCAAGGGAGAAAGCTTTGATATGGGCTCCAAAGTTGAGTTTTTCTGTGATGAAGGCTATGAATTGATTGGAGATATCTCATGGACATGTCAGAAGTCTGGGAAATGGAGCAAAAAGCAAAGCCCAAAGTGTGTGCCAACAAAATGTCCAGAACCACCCTTGGCAGAAAACCATCTGGTCCTGAAGGAAGTGACTTACCAAGTTGGTGTTGTCCAGTTCTCCTGCAAGGAGGGTTACGTTTTGCATGGTTCCTCTGTGCTGAAATGCTTGCCCTCCCAACAGTGGAATGATTCCTTTCCTTTCTGCAAGGTTGTACAGTGTCATGCACCTCCATATATTCCCTTTGGTGACCCTTTGACTTCATCCCTTCATTTTGGTAGCACAGTGAGGTACATCTGCGTGGACGGGTTTTTACTGAAGGGTGAGTCTACAATCAGATGCCAGGCTGACGGGTCGTGGAGTTTGCCTTTGCCAGAATGTATTCCTGTGGAGTGCCCCCAGCCAGAAGAAATTCAGAATGGCATTGTCGATGTGCAGGGCCTCACCTTCCTTAGCACAGCCCTCTATACATGCAAGCCAGGGTTTGAACTGATGGGGAACACCACTATCCTCTGTGGAGAAGATGGCCAGTGGCTAGGAGGGAGGCCAGCTTGCAAACCTATTGAATGCCCAAGACCTAAGAAGATTCTCAACGGCAAATACTCATACACAAACTTCCATTATGGGCAGACTGTAAGATATTCCTGCGACAGAGGTTTCCAGCTCCAAGGGGAGGAAACTCTAAGTTGCCTGGAAACAGGACAGTGGAATACAGAGGTTCCCTCCTGCAAAGCCATAAATTGCCAGCCCCCTCAGCCCATTGAGAATGGCTTTGTGGAAGGTGCAGATTACAGCTATGGAGCCATGGTTATTTACAGCTGTGTACCGGGCTTCCAGCTTTCTGGCCTTGCCATGCAGACGTGTGAAGAATCAGGCTGGTCTAGCTCCACTCCGACCTGCCTCCCTACAGACTGTGGCCTGCCTCCTCACATTGACTTTGGGGAGTACGTGCAGGTGAGACAAGGGGAAAGACATTCTGACCAGGAAAGTGTTACAGAGAGTCCCTCCCTTTCCCACATATTGCTAGCTGACAACTTGAAAGATTTCAAAAGTTCTTCGAAGGGGAACAGTGCAATGCATCTGACCAGTTTCTTATTTGGAACTACCATTCTGTACACATGTTACTCTGGTTATGAGCTGTTGGGAAATGCTGTTCTAGCTTGCCAAGAAGATGGGGCCTGGAATGGCACTGCCCCTGCCTGTGTTTCAATAGAGTGTACCTTGTTGTCACCTCCAGAGAATGGCTTTGTGCATTTTACTGAGAACACGCTCGGTAGTGTGGTGCAGTACTCCTGTAAGCCTGGGTTCACGCTTGTTGGCTCCGACAAACGGCTGTGTTTGCCAGATCGGCAGTGGAGTAACACTGCTCCATACTGCAAGCTGATAATGTGCAGCTCCCCCACCCAGCTCATGAATGGAAACATAAAAGGGGAAAACTACACATATGGGAGTGTTATCTACTATGAGTGTGATCCTGGATACCAGTTAAATGGCCCCACACAGAGGAGGTGCCAGGAGAACCAGAAATGGGATGGCAGGGAACCGATTTGTATTCCTGTTTCCTGCAGCCCACCACCGATTTTAGAGAATGGTCAAGTGACTGGAGAGGAATACACCTTCCAGAGACATGCAGAGTACAGCTGCAAAGAAGGTTTCCTGTTAGAAGGGGACAGGAGTAGAGTCTGCCTCGCAAACGGAAGCTGGAGTGGAATCACTCCCGTTTGCAAAGCTGTGATCTGCCCTGTGCCTCTGCCTCTTCCTAATGGGAGGATTAGTGGCTCAGATTTTGGCTTTAAGAAGGAAGTGCAGTATCACTGCAGTGAAGGATATAGCCTGCAAGGAGCATCTACGCTTACTTGTCAGAAGGATGGTACTTGGGATTCAGAAGCTCCACATTGTGATCCAGTCATTTGTGGACCTCCTGAAGACATCTCTCATGGTTTTCTGAATGGCTCAGGCTTTACCTACGGAGAATTTGTCCAGTATGAGTGCTTCCCTGGCTATGAGCTTCATGGTAATCCGTTACGACAGTGTTTGTCCAATGGCTCCTGGAGTGGAAGCCTTCCGTCTTGCCTCCTCTGTGAGTGCCCTGTGCCACAGATTCAGAGTGGGATCGTCCTTGGCAACGATTTCAGCTGTGGCAAAAGTGCCCGGTTTCAATGCCTGGAGGGTTTCAAACTGCTAGGGCCTTCTGAAATCTCCTGTGAGGCAGCAGGCAAGTGGAGTTCTGAGTTTCCTCGTTGTAGACAGATTTCCTGTGGGTCCCCACCCGACATCCCCAACACATTTATCAACGGGAGCAGCTCTGCAGACGAGAACACCATCGTCTATAACTGCATGACAGGTTTTGTCATGCAGGGAAGTCCAGAGCTGACTTGTGCCGAGACAGGCGTCTGGAAGAAGCCGTACCCAAGCTGTGAGCTGCTAAGCTGTGGCCCGCCACCTTATGTCCCAAATGCAGAAGTTATTGGGAATACTCACACCTATGGGAGCAAGGTCCAGTACAGGTAAGAAGGTTGCTGCCGTTCTGTTTCCATAAAATCTGTTAAGGAATGAAGATGAGAGGTTTAGGCACCATCAATTAGTGCAAGATTTTAGGACCTGGAAGAAAAGCTATGCCCTATTACATACTAAAGTTGACAAATTCCACACTGCCATGCACAAACAGAATACTATTGGGGAATTCACTGTTAGAACTCCAGCAAGATATTTTGGTGTCTGGGGCTGCGCTCCTCCCCTGCCTTTAGTTTCCCATTCTTCTTTGTCTTTTTCCTTCACCTCCTTTGAAACGTTACTCTGGACATTCAGCTTTTCTGGTGGCAGCAACAATCAGCAGCATGTCCCCATTTGGCACTCCATTTACCTCCTCTTGCTGCTTTCAGCTGCTTGTTATAATACAGAAGTGTTGATCTTGCTTTTGTACCATTTTCTGTACAACACTGCAATGTCAGCAACTGTTGTGGATGCACAGTTACTCCTTTCTGAGAGACGAGAGAGAGGGGTTGGTATTAGTTCCCTGGAATGTGCGCACTGCAGATCCCTTTCCTTAAGGAGAGACACTCCCGTGGCAGAAGGGCAGGTTTTTTTTTTTTTTTTAATCACTGAAGGCAATTAGTAGTTATAGACAGAAACAGGAGATGATGCGTGGATGAATTTAATAGGCTCAGTCATTTCTGTGCATCCTAACAAGGTGGAGGGGGTGACTGTATCCACCCACTTACAGTCCAATCCATTGATGGCCAGATTCTGTAAGCCAGCTGAGCTGCACGTCGTGATGCACTGTGTGGGAGAGAGCAAATCGGCCTCGATCTTCAAAGCAAACAACTCACGACCAGCCTGAAGCTTGTTTTATTCATGGAAGAAAGTGAGAGTATCTATCTTTGGAATTGCTCGTGGTTACAAATGGGGCATTCAAAGACTGGGAATCGAGAAGCTATAAGAGTGCACTTGGTGCTCACATGTTATTTACAAAGCCTTCCTCACAAAGAGAAAGGCCATATAGGAACTGCATTAGTGCTGTTGTTCTCCTAAAGCAGTCAGGATCTTGCAAACACTACAGCCACCAACTCACTTTCCACTATGGTGCTGTGGCAGCATGAAGCAACTGGAGAAGAGGTCTAAAACTTCCAGCTTTTGCCATAGAATAAACCCAGCCCAGACATGCTTCTTACAGGATTACCTTGAAATAACAGAGAAATCTCTAGGTGTGCTTATAGAAAAGTATACTGGGAAATGACCGCCTGATTTGTAGCTTGTGGGCTAGCTTGTCTCTAGATATGTGCCTTTTCAGATGTCCCTGTTCTGTTGCAGATGCCTGGAAGGTTACACAATGGTGACAGAGGTGGATGTATGCACTTGTCAGGAAGACGGACAGTGGTCTCCTCAAAGTATTTCCTGTTGTCCCAGAAAGTGTCCACTCCCAGCAAATATCACCCGTGTGATCGTACTTGAGGACAACTTCACTGTGAATACTAACATCAGTCTGTCATGTGTAGAAGGCTATACTCTGGTGGGAGCAAGCACATCGATGTGCAAGGTATTATTGTTATCTGCACAATTTATTTTGCAGGCGAGGCTCCCCGTGCTCTTATCTGCTGTTAGCTCTTGGCCCTTATCTGCACTCAACGCATTAAAAATGTAAAGCATGTCCTGCAAAATATATGTCTTCTTGTTCCTCAGTAAGAATGATTATTAGTTTTCTATGTATAGATTTCAGAATTAGAAATTAATGATTTCTTCTTCCATATAGAAATAATACTATCCTGTAGAAAAGCATTCCTTTTAACACATTTCCACTTAATTTCAGAGGACTGTTTCAGAAAATAAATCATAGCTGAGATTTTCAGAAATGATGTCTGAGATTTCTAATATATATTTTAGGATCATGTGCACAGCTTTTTTTATTTTTCTCCAGAAAAACAGATAACACACATTTTATTCCACTAAGCAAGCTGTAGAAACTTCAACCCCCTGTGTGTTAAAGAACAAACCACTTTACCAGTTCTGCTAGTAACAGCTTCTTGCATCTTAACTGGCAAGCTTGCATCTGTTACTTAAGGTTGCAAATAAACTTTAAAACCAGTAAGGCTGCTCATATGAGTAAAGCTAAGCATGTATGGTTTTGCAGGATCAGCACTTAATATGGAGAGAATCTCTCCTTATTTGCTGTTTCACGGATTTGTGGAAATAGGAGTAGCTGTTTTTGCTTTGCTGCTCCTTACAGGTCAGCACAGACTGTAAGCAAATTAATTCTACTCCCAATATTTTCAGTGATTGCCTCTTCAGGTATCAGACTTCTCTTGCCGTTCTAGGAGGGCAGCTGAAGAATTTTGTCATATTATTAGAAATGCAGCCAGGACTAAAGTGCAGAGCATGGAATCAGGCGGCTATAGTTGTGGTTCTTTTCGTTCTGTGTTCACTGCGCCGTTGTGTGGCCTTGTACACGTGACCTTGCTTTTCCAAGCCCCCGTTTCCGCATTTACATTTTGTTCCTTCTGTCTTATATGTCAAGGCTGAACATTCCTGCCGCAGCTGAGTCTCCGTCTAGGTTGTCTTAAATTGCTGCTTAAATTACAGAGTGTTACTAAGCATTGCACATAATGTTACAATAACCACATGTGAGCAACCATTGGATGTTTCTACTATGACTTTCCTAACTTTTTCTCTTGAATATGTATTTTTTTTTTAATCACATCTCTTTTTCAGGAGAGTGGCATTTGGGTGCCACTGTTTTCTGATGACATCTGCATTCCTGTGTCCTGTGGGACCCCAGAAGCTCCAGAGCACGGATTTGTGGTTGGCACTAAATACAGTTATCAAGATGTGATTCTTTATAAATGTGATTCTGGCTATGAACTGCAAGTAAGGAAGCTGAGTCCCCATCACACTCAGCCTTTCGTTGTCATTTCTGGTTTCGTATGATGACTCTGAGAATGCGTTTTACCTGTTCCATAGTGATATTATTTCCCTAGCTGAAACTGACGTTGGATAGTTGCTTTTGTTGTTGTTGTTGTCTACAGAACATGCTACAGGCATGTCTGGGATCTTCCTTGAATGACTGACTTAAAGTATAAATGAGGCAAATATAAGCATCCTGGTCAAGGATACGTATTCAACAGTTACCTTTCAGTGTTTGGGTTTTTTTTTTTTTGAAGTGCATGTTGCTTCAGCCCTCTGAAAATACAACTTTTCTGTTACGTCAGTGACTGTTGTTATATGCTTGCAAACATAATTATTGAAGAGTTAATTTCTCACCTCTTGCCCTCCTTAACTCGACCACCAGCCTTGGTGAGGCTGCTTGCCTCCTTCAGTTACGTACTACCCCCCAAGCGCTGTGTTTTCTGCTTTGTGCCTGTCGGACTCAAAGCTCTTGATAAACTCTGCTCCCCTCAGTTCTGTGATATTGCTAGGAAGTATGGAAGTGATATCTCTTGTTTTAATAAGGCAAAGAGACTGCAGCTTGTTCAGTGGCAGAGTATTTCCGTGACAGAGGTGGAAACAAAGTCTTCTCCTTCTGGCTCTGTCCGTTGTTTTTAGTATCGGCATTGGGCAATTAGCCCTAACTGAGCCCTGAGGCGCCACTGCTGGCTTGTTATCAGGACCCATGCGGTCCTGATGAGTCCATCAGGACTCGGGTGTGTTGTCATAAATTGCAGAGAACTGAGAAAGGAAAATATGTTGCGTAGGCACAGCGTGGCCTCCCCCATCCCCAGGTCGCGGCAGAGCAGGGAACAATCCTGTCCAGAGGCGTGAGTTAGCAAGATATCTCCAGGTCAGGGGCTGTCTCTTAGCACTGTGTTTTGTGAGTACATAGCAGAATGCATGATTGCGTTCCTAGGGGCTGTGGTAGCACCAATGATAAATAAGAATTTCATGCACGTGAATTAATCCAGCCAGGAGTGAAAGTAGCAGAACAGTGAGCATTTCTCTGTTCGTTCTGCAGCGGGGTAGTCCCATGGAGTACAGCCAAGAAGGTGGGTGCTCCTCCTGCCAGGAATTCCGGGAGGTGTACACATAGACCATAAGGCAGAAAGTAGGGGAGAAGGAAACGGGGGAAAACGTGAGCTGGAGCATTTGTGTAATATGGGAGGCACATTTTATGCTAGCAGCGAGATCTGACAGCATGGGGAATTAAAATTAGAAGAGTTGCTTTCTCTTCTCTCTTCAGAGAGAAGAGACCATTGTCAAAATCAAATAGAAAAATCAGGAGAGTTTAGAGAATGCTCAGCTAATAATAAATTCGTAACATGTATGTTACATACATAACACCCCGGAGGAAGGAGGGAATGGCTTGGTAATTCGACAGCTAGAATTGCTGTTTAGCATGGCTTTTGGTGGTAATCAGCCAGTGCATTCGTGTATTAAAAAGTCCTGCCACGTTTTGTGTTCCAAGTTCGCCACCTAGTGTCTGCCTTGTCTCCCTGCTGTTTTTTTCCTGTGGAAGGCACAGTCTGCTAGGTGTAATGCCGTATGTACACTCTCATTTCAAATAGCTGCCCTTGTCAACGGGTTTGCTTTGTAGTGAAAGTACATTGCTTTAAGGGACAAATTTAGATGTTTTCCTCCCTGTCCTGGAATGAAATAAGAAATTAGTCCTGGGACGTTAGATTGGCTATACGATGCGTACATAAGAAAGAAACAGAATCGTTTATAAGCGAATTTAAAGAATGTGCATTTGGGATATGATCAAAATTAGTACAGTATGTTTACAAAACACAGGCTTGTAATGTTCTTGGGAAAAAAAAAGCTAGTCAGATTTTCATTGAGTGAGTACTGGAAGGAGAAAATTTATCATCATTATGATGAAATTCCGTGGAGAAAGACAAGAGAGCTGCCTAACTGGCCCACAAACGTTTAATTTATCAACAATAACCTGCAATTTGCAGGAAGGAGTTCTACCAAAAGTCTTCTAGCTAGCTTGGTCTTTAGCATTTAACCTCCTTTTTATGAGGGTTGCCTCTGGGGGGAAAATGCACTGGCCTTGCTGAATCCTAGGGCTGATGGGAGAGAGGAGGTCACTAAATAAAGTTGTTCTTTGAGCTTTTCCTTGTGTTTCATAGGGTGATACAGAACGGACTTGCCAAGGAGACAAGCTCTGGAGTGGCACAGCACCAGCGTGCAGAAGTAGGTTCCACCTGAGTTTGTTACTTGCTGAATTTGGTCAAGGGTGGTTTTACACAACAGAAAATGCTAATGCTTGTTTTGCTTGCTGTATAACTCAGACTGTCTGCACATACCTAAAAATTTTCAGTAAGTACCACTGATACGTCCTAGAGGACTTGCAAAATTCCTGGTATATACAGGTAACAGTGGGAAGTAAATCACTACACTTTCCTCCTCTACTCCCCAGCCCCCAAGAAAGCTGGGCAAACAGCTCCCAAAGTGACTAGGGCTGCTGAATACTTCCATTTCTGGATCCTTTACTTCCAACATTAGATAGAGCTGCTTGCACAATCAGGCCTTTGACACATTCTTGCTGCTATTTTAGTTCTGTGCTTCTTTAGATACTTTTTTGTAAATCATTAATGGTGTGAAGAAGTTTAAACTTCCTATGTTACCTTCACTTTTAAATAAGATGAGAGCAGTATAGAGCCTTCACCAAAAACCTAAACGTATAAAAAGCAGCAGTGACAACTAGGAAAGCTGATGTTCTTGCTGTAATAGGTTACGGTCCACGTTTGAAGGGTCATATTTGAAGTTTAATCACTTCTGGCACTTGAGGTTATGATTTCTGGGGCTAATGAGGACCTCTGAACACCAGAGTTACCAGGATTTGTAGGTGCTCGACATCCTGAAATATAACCCTGTGGCACGTGTTTTCTAACGCACTTCACTTTCATGAGCTGTCTAATTCCCGCTGATTGCAATGCTGAAAAAGGAGTTGGCTACATAAATACTTGCCTGGTTTTCAGCTACTGACTGTGAGTGGCAACACTGGAATCTCCCGAGGCTTCCAGCCAGCACTGCCACGATGGATTTTGTCTTTAGCAGTAACTGGAAGCATCAAGCATTGATTAACCTGGCATATCTTTGCTCTGCTCAGGGGCAAATACCTGGGAATGCCTGCAGAAACCCCATGCTCTTCCCCTGTTTCAAAGAGTAAAAATTGTGAAGGAGCTGGGAGTAGGACAGGCTGTTTGAACTGTATCTGATTGTAACATATTCCATATGTTATAGGGATATCGTGTGGGCCCCCAGAGGTGATAGAGAATGGATCTGTTCGGGGAGAGGAGTTCCTGTTTGGCAGTGAAGCTCTTTACAGCTGCGACCCTGGCTTTGAACTACAGGGACCGAGCCGAAGGATTTGCCACGTTGACAGAAAGTGGAGCCCCTCCGCCCCTTCATGCGCGAGTAAGTAGTGAGCACAGCAAAATGGTGGCAGTTTTCCAGGAGGGCTGGGAAGCAGACTGTCAGAGTGATTTTGTTGGCTTCCTCCTGGTTTCTCCCTCCAGCTGGAGGGCGGTAACAGGAGAAGCCGGGGAAAAGCCGGCTGAGCAGGTCTCGTTGGTGGTTCCTCTGTGCTCTGAAGGGAGCTCCTTTTGGCACATTAAAGTGGCACAAGCATGGAGCGGTGTTCAGATCATTGGGGGAGGAACATGGCCTGTTGTGTATGATTGGCTCTGCGTTTTGGTTTGCAAAGCCTCAAACATCATGTGCAGGGATGATTTGTCTCTGCAATGCCGAGGCTAATATATCGTGGCCACTGCATGTGTTTGGAGCTCAAGGTTCTGCTCCCTAGGATCAAACCTTGGCTTTCTGGTAACCCCACAGCAGAGGGCAATTAGTTGCAGGAGCATGGGGATTTATGACTTATTTCATACAGCGTATATATAAAACACCACGATTTTATAGCCTTTACCAATAAATTATCTCCCATCTTCTTGTGGTGATAACACATTCCTACCCCCTTGCATTCTTCTCTCTCAGAATTAACTAATTTGTCTGGCCTCCATAGGAGGGGTGGGGCAGGGGACAAGATCTTCCTTAACTACCATCATTTTTGTTGAGGCCACCTTCTGCAGTACGGGGAGCAATGGAGCCTGCAAATGCAGCCTCTGGTCTGGTCAGAAGAAATACTCTGGACCAGTCTCTGTTTGACTGAGTGCACCTTATAGCTTAGTATACCATCTGATACATTTGAGCAGGTTCTCTCTCAGGTGTCTGCAACCTGAACACCAGGAGAGAGGGCAGGCAAGGCACTGCCTAACCCTACTCCGTATAATACTTATCCAGCTTCATTCTTCTACTCATCTTCCCATTGATTTCAGTATGCGAGATGAGATGCCAGACCAGGTGTAGCAGATAGACACAATGGGCCTTGTTATCTGTATAAAACTAAAAAGTTTTCTCCTCTTCTAGGAATTACTTGTGGGCTGCATCCCTCAGTAGACAAAGCAGAGGCCATGCCTACAGGAAGCACATATAGAAGTAACGTGACCTTTGTGTGCAAGTCTGGATACCATCTTGTTGGGCCCCAGAATATCACGTGCCTTGCCAATGGGAGCTGGAGTAAACCCTTGCCTTTGTGTGAAGGTGATTGTTGGGTCTCATGGCACCAGCAGATCCTGATCTGGGATAAACAACAGTGCCCCTCTTATGCATGCATACCATATGATCCAGGAATTGAACTGCTCCTGGAAATGGTTCTGTAATATGCATTAATGCCTGAGAGATGCCTGAGATGATGTCTGAGATGGTGCATGAGAGATGAAATGAGTCACAGGAAGCAATTACCAAAGCGGAAGGGGTCTTAGACGTGATTTTTCTTTAGGGTCTTAATCTGCGGTTTTACAGTCCTAATGAGATATGAGGCTGCTTGCCATCTCAGAGAATCAAACCCTTAACAGAAGGTGATGGATTGGGAGGACAAATTACTTTTCTCCTAGCAGTCTTCTAAAGTCAGCAGTTAGGTTGATATTTTTCTTTTTTCTGAATTTTTTGGCCTCAAACCCAGCAGCAGGGTTGTCTTGAGAACTGTCTTGACAACTCAGCCTTTAACCTACACTCCTTACGTGAACATGCACCATGAATGTGTGATGTGTACCATTCTGCAAATGACTGCTTTGAAATGCTCCCTCAGTAGGTCCTGTTGCGCTTGCTACCAAGCAGAATGAGTGCCAACCAAGTACGGTCTTATGTCATACGGACTGGGCAGGGGTAGGAGGAAACAAGGCTGTTAACAGAAAAACAGAACGAAGTCGTGAGATCCGAAATATAAACAGATACCCAGTACTGTTGGATGACTATTCAAAATGGAAAGCATATGGAAACTTAATAATTAATTCCATTACACACTGTACATTATACACCTGTAAGTGTGAGTGTTCCCCTTTCCTTGCCTCTTTGCCGTGAAAAGGCAAAGCCTGGGCTTTCTGTGTGCTTCCCACCTTTCCTTTTCTCTCAGAAACACACTAGTTCATATCTTGCCCATCACGCTTTCTTCAAGATGGTTTTTGTCCCTGCTGCTCATGCCCCTGGTCTCGCATGCTATAGATGCTAGACCCAGCGTCCTGCTTGCCTTCCTTAGTTGCCCCTGGTATTCTCACATGAAGCTGGTGTGTTGATTTCTCCACACCCAGCTGCTCACACAGATTCAGAGGGCGCCAGGATACTCTGACAGCTCCACCTGAGTAAGACAGGTAATCATCTTCCACTCAAGGTAGGTGTTAGGTTCCTGGCACTAGAGCTGCAGAAACAGCATGAGGACAGGTCTGTTGTGACCTTCCTTGTGATGGAGACAATCTTCAGTGACAGATGCAAACTCCCAACAGATCCCTTAAGGCAGGACCTGTTTCTCATAGAACGGACCCTCGGATTCTGCATGGGTGACCACACAGTACACAGCTCACTGTGCACCTTGTAGCGCACCACGCTTTGCAGACCATCTAGCAACAATCTGCAGAGTTGATTGTTACCATTCATATTGGAGAAAAGGTCTCAAGTAGCTATCCAGACACCTAAGAAGAGTTACAGCCTAGCAGTGCTGAAACAAGCCATGAGTCAAGAAGGCCGTCTTGAACAAGGTCAAGGACAGCCCCTTCAGGAACAAGGTAGCTGTTACATCCTTAAAATAGTCTCTTCCACCTGCCTGACAGTCTTGCCTCGATCTTTGGTGGCTTACTCTTCAGTCATCTTCCTATTATGGAGTTTCCAGGGAAATCACCTGTCTGCCTGCTGGCTTCAGAAACACAGTTGAAAGTCTTGAGTGGAGCAGTGGAGTAATACAAGTATCAGCATTTCATTGCAACCCATCCTGCATCTTGTCCTGTATTTCCAGTCTGGTGAAAAGGAAGGCACAAAGGGCTGCAAGTTTCTGAGGTATCTTTCAGTGGGGAGAAGGAGCCACTCATGTTCTGCCCCATTAACCCCGGCAGGAAGTCATAAACGTGTCCTCTCCTCACCAACACTGTGAGAGTCTGCTGACCTGAGAAACAAGAGGCTGTACCTTTTCTCCATCACTGGGAGGAGCTCCTTCCCCAGCATGGCTACATTTCCTTCCCAGTGAACTGAACTCTCCCATAATATTCCTTATAATTTATTACTCTGTGGTTGCTACTTTAAATGTATAGTGTGAACTCGTCAGGAATTGTTGGAAGCTAATATCAAGCTGAACTAATGAGAGCTCTTCCTTTGCAGAGACCAGATGCAAAGTTCCAGTTTCCTTTCTGAATGGGAAGGTGATCTATGAAAACAATACACTTGGAAGTACTATAGAGTATTTCTGCAAGAGGGGGTACAGCTTGGAGGGGGAACCTGCAGCGGAGTGCACAAAGGATGGAAGATGGAGTAATCCCTTGCCTCTCTGTAAACGTGTGTGTTTGCTTTGTAACAAAAAAGTGGTCTCAATTTGTAAGCATTAAAGGCCAGACTGGTCTTCTTTTAAAGGGGTAGTAATTAAGAGTAACTTCTGCAGATCTTTGTAGAGATGGACTGTAATTTTCTTCTGGAGTGGCCAAGAACAGAATTTGTTAATCTTAGCTGAAAAAATTGGCTTGGCCTACATTGGGAAATTGCCTGTTGGGGGCATCGCAGGGTTATGGGGGAACAAAGGAAGCAGTTACTGAGCCATGTTAAAGCAGTAACTTACCTGAGTATGTTTTTGTGGTAGTGAAAGAATGAACTGTGCTCTGCATTGATCCCTTTAGTTGGAAAACTGATTAAATTGGAGTCAAATGGAGTCAAACACTTGATGTTTGAGGAGAGGGTAAGAGAACTAGATTTGTTCAGCCTTGTGAAGAGAAAGCAAAGGGGAAACCTTATTGCTGTCTACAACTGGCTGTTGGTAGGATGTAAGGGAAACTTTACAGGAAAAGAGGCTCTTCTTGCGGGTGCACAGTGATAGGATGACAGACAATGGACACAAATTGCAACACAGAAAATTCCAATAAAATATTAGAAGAAACTTTGTACCATGGCAGCAGTCAAACATTGGAACAGGGGCCCAGAGAGCATGTGGAATCTCAGTCCTTGGAGATATTCAAAGCTCAACTGGACAAGATCCTGAGCAACGTAATGTAGTTGGCCCTGCTTTGAGAAGGAGGTTGTCTAAATGACTTCATAAATTATTCTATGAAAAAGCACCTTACACATATGTGCACTGCATACACACACACACACGCACACGCACACACACACACGCACACACACACACACGCACACACACAATAACCTTCCTTGTTGTCAAATCTGTCTGTAACTAATCTTAATGTCCAGTATAGTCTCAGGACTATACTCAACTCTCAGCAGTTGAGACGTTTAATTGGTGCGTAAGAAAGGACATAGATGGTTTTAGTTTTAGGAAACAGGCATTAATCTCTACTGTATTTAGAGGCCAGCCTTTCTCACATTTACAGTGACAGATCAGCAGACTATTCAGAAAAGGCTCAGCAAGCCTACAGCCAGCAATAAATAAGACTATCAGAGAAATTCTAAATTCTGATGAATATTGCTAAAGGTTTCTGTTCAAATACCTGGATTTTCTGCTGCTTTACATTGCTCCAGGCCCTCCAAACAGCTAAATACAATAGTTCTGAATCATTTTACAGTAAAGTTTTGGGAGAGTCCAAGGAGAGAGTGGTTTGATAGTGTCGTGTTAGATATTCTCCATTTAAATCCTCAATACCTCTTCCACTGGTGTCACTATAATATGGTAGCAAGTCAAGCAACAGCAGAGAGTCAAGCCTTTTGTCATTTTTTTAAAACCTCAGATCTCATAACTTGGCATCAAATTACAAGTGAGGCTTGTGAGCGGATTGTTCTTTGTATGACTTGATTTTGAAATTTGGAGATGTTCTTCTAAAGTACTCTCTTCCTTCTTCCCTTCTCTCTCTCTTTCCTTCCTTTTCGTCTTTTCTCACACCCTTTCTTTGAACAGCAAACCCTTGTCCTGTGCCTTTCATAATCCCAGAAAACGCCCTGCTCTCTGAAATGGATTTTTATGTTGGGCAGAACGTATCCATCAGGTGCAGGGAAGGCTACCAGCTGAAAGGGCAATCTGTAATCACCTGCAACGCTGATGAAACTTGGACTCCAACAACAGCTAAGTGTGAAAGTAAGTACAGGAGTTGCAGTCCTACTTCGTCCTTTGTAGAAGGTTGGTGACAACTGCTATATCACAAGAGGAGCATGGCAGCACAGATGTGTAGGCAGAACTCTCCACCTAAATGCAGTTATTCTGGATGAAGAGAGCTTTTGTCTGCAGTTGTCATTTGGAAAGATGTGTCGCTCCACTGACAGGAAAGCTTCTGAAGGTGTAGACGGGGTCTCTGCTAGAGACCCTAGCACGTAAAGGTAACCTAAGAAGCTCTACAAAAGAGGTGTTGTTTCTTGAGAAGGAACCAGAGTGTGTCTGTGCGGGCTGGTGCCCTGAGAGCACTCCTGCCGTACTATCATTTTCTTCTCAATTTACCTTTTATAAGTGCTGCTGCTGGGATTGGTTTTTGGATACCTTACATGTCCTGCAAATGACTGCTGTGAGACTGTAGGTGAGTCTTGGGTTGCAGAGAGAGGTAATATCTTTTATTTAATCAGCTGACACCCTTTTTCAGGCATGTCAGAAAGCTGTTTGGCTTCTTCCACCAGCATTGCCTAGTTCAGAGAAGGACATCACCTAAGCCTACAAACTTGGCCTCATGTATAGCTGAGCAACTGAAAGTTTCTGCCATGTGTATGATAGATGCAGTCATTGTTGCATTACCTAAAATTGCTGCTCCAAACCATCCCCCTGCTCACTGATATTCATATGGGTGTAAGCACAGGTTCACCCTATGAATGTTTTGCGTCTGCACCATGAAGAAGCCCTCCTTACTGCTCTCCCGTAAGTGAGGTGTCTCAGCACCTCTTCAGTCATTTTTTGCAAGGCACTGTGTCCTGGATTTAAAATCGTATCATGCAGGCATTGCAGCTGACCAAGCTTCTGGGTGATTTCTTTGGTTTAGAGATATCTTGCGGGCCCCCAGCTCACGCAGAGAACGCTCTGATCCGTGGTAGCTTCTACCAGTATGGGGACATGGTTACCTACTCGTGCTACAGTGGGTATATGCTGGAAGGGCCCCTGCGGAGCATTTGCCTAGAAAATGGAACGTGGACAACACCCCCCACCTGCAAAGGTATGAGTGTTTTCTGTTAACAGGCACGTTTTTTTATCTTACCCTAAACACAGAGATACTACCCTAGTTGCAGTAAAGTGAAAGCCAAATCCTCTCTTGTTTCAATGCAGCCATAATTTCACCCAGGACTTTTTAAATGCAGGGTATTACCTTATTTCCAAGTGAGAGAAGGCTTCCACAAGTCTCCAGTCCTGGCTAATGCTATAGTAACTTCTGCAACAGTGATGTATCCCACACCATAAGATCCTCTCTCCCAAATCTCTTTTGAGAAAGTGAGGGAACAAGTCATCGTGCTGATAGATTGAGCTGCTTCAGACAGGGACTGCCAAGGCAGTACCTGTTCTTTAAGAGTCAGAATATATCTGCTTTTTCCCAGCTGAAGGAAAAGCACTGCAGAAAACAAAAGCAGGAGATCAGGTGGGTACTTAGCCTCTCACTGTGTTTAGAGCCTGGCAGCCGCTAGAACTCTTTTGCAATAAAATAGTTAAGGGTAGGTTGATACAGATCACTGAAATAATGCAGACTAAGGACTGAGCAAAATTCATGATTTCAGCAAAACAGAGAAGGCAAAGTCTGCCCTTTTACACCGTTGGCATACCAGCAGGAAACTGCCACTGTTTAGCCTGCTAGGGTTTTAAAAAGCGTACTTGTTTAAGTTGCAAAATTAATTCCTTCACACAGAACATTCAGATAAACAGTTTGATACAGAAAGTCGGAGAGGGCCACACAAAACACGGAAGTGGTAATAAACAGTTACAAACAGATATAAATAGAAGCAACTTCGAGCACTAACTTCAAACCAACAATGACACGTAGCAGAGGAGTTTCAAAGCGTCGGGATTTGATTGGAGAGACCTTGCCTTCTGCGATTTGCACATGAGAAGCTTGACCAGCCCTGCTGCTCTCAGCAGGGTAACTTAGCTGCTCTCTGGCATCCTGAAGTCTCTCTCGGGTGGTATAACTCCCACCATGCTGTAAACTGTGCCTTAGCTATGTTATTTAGAAATGAGAGTCCTGAAAGCAAAAACCTTAGCGAGCATCACTGGCCAGTCACAAGCAGTCCTGTTCTCAAAGCTCACGGACCCCCTCAGAAGAGGAAGGGTGCCCAAACACTGATCTGGGAGCATCACAGTCATGATTAAAGATGTCAGGTCCACCTCTCTTTCCGCAAGCGTCTCAGCAACCCCTGTCTAAAAAGCAATAATACTTCCTCCCTCCTTGCCCTTTTTCTGTTTAGGTCAAAAGCCCCTTGGAGACAGAGGTTTCTATACAGTGCTTAGCCTAGCTAATCAGGATTCCTGTGTAAATTCTTTCATACGAATTCCGCCACCAAAACACTGTTACTGTCTTAACCTCGATAAGTTAAATTGCCCTACTGTGCAAAAGCTGTGTTTGGAGCAGGCTCTCTGTTAGTTCCAGACATGATATTTATATTGCCTGGCCTAGAAGTCACAGATTAGTAGATTATTTTGCGACGATCCCAAAGAAATGGGCTTGCAGCTCCTGAACATTTCAGGAACAGAGAAGCTGCAATTGAAAACCACTTTTTTCCTGGCGTTGTGAGCCTGGCTTGGCCTTGCAGTGGAGAATCAGCTGGTCAGATGCCAAGAGATATCCAGAAGTCCCATTGAAGACATACACTCCCAAGCCACCAAGCTCTTTCTGAAGAGTTTGCCTAGTATCTCATTGTTGCTTTCTAAACTGTGATGGCTACAGAATTCAACCAACTTCTGCACAATACATACTCTAACGTAAGCTAGGTGTTAATTAGGAAAATTATTTGGATATTATCTCTTCAGGTATCTCTTAATGCTTTGGATTCTTCAACTGTCTCTTTAATATCACTAATTACTGCTTTTTATTCTAATTTAATTTTTGTTATTTATACAGAACCCTACCTTATGCTGACGGCTGTAGTTTTCTGCTAAGACAAGTTCCTGCCACAGGTTGCTAACAACCTAGCAAGGCAGATCTGCAAAGAACTCTCAAATACATATCCTGTTTCCAGCATCACTGAATCCACTGGGACTATGCAGAGGCATAAGTAGTAGGGGTAACAATTTCCAAAAACAGAGGAGGTGATGAGGTAGACAAATGAACTGGATGTAGAGCAAGAAAATAGAGTGAAATAACATGCCTTTTGCTGTATTAAGGCAGGGGAATAGCAGTTTACCCCCTCTTTCCACCTAAAAGGGAAAGCTAAAAAGGACCAAAGATATTTCTGAGAGGACAGACGTGTTTTCATGACACACATCAAAATAATCTTTCAGAACTGCTTTATAATTCATGGGAGAGATTTGCCTAACAAAAGGCCTACGGGACCCAAGCCTTTGTGGTCTACATCAGAAGCAACATGAAAGCGCTTTTTCTAATGACTCATGCAGCATTTCTTGTTTTTGGCACTGTGAGTTGATTATTAATGTGTCCTAAGCCTGCATGAAATGTTCTGGCCCGGTTGCACGGGTTAGTTAACGTAAATATTATAATTAAAAAGCAGACTTTGTTCGTTTCTTTGGGAGAGCTCTAACTACAGCTGCACTTGCCCGAATTGCTGATAGTTAAAGATTGCAGGCCAGATGCTAATCTGATTTTCAGGGGTGAGAGGTGTTAGCCTGGTTCTGCTGACCATAAACGCCTGTGGGACTAGGCAGTCTGCACAGACTGACACAACTTGTCTAACTGCACTTCAGTCTTTCCTCTCTAAAATCTGTGCCGTGTATTTGCCCTCTGCCTGCGTCTCGCTGGCTAGGAATGATCTAGTATGGAGGTGCAAGGCAAGAAGTTTGTACTCGGTCATCAGACGAGAATATTTTGAGGGCTCAGCTGAGACATGGGGAAAATTGTTCCCTTGGTACAACATGAAAGCTCTGTGGCAGAGCTGAGAACGGATGTCAAGAGCCTTTTTTCCCCTTCTTACCCAGGTTAGTGTTACGCCAGTGTAACTTTTCCATCCTGCAGAGATAATTATCAGGCATGGATTTACAAGGGGATCTCAAAAGGTTTAACATCAGTAGCTGGGATGTGAGATCTGCTACAGCAACTGCAGTGGCAATTAATGCTTCCCCGTCTGTCCCCAGTAGCTCAGGACTGCATCTGCCCTGCTTGTTGTCACGCTAGCACAAGAGGAGAACGAGGTCCTGGCTTAACTCCGCACCATAAGCCTTTCTCTGTTCTTGTTTGCTGAGTGAATAGTAATCCCCACAGCTACAGACACAGAGTCTCTCTCTTCCTAAATCAATGTATGACAAGTGCACACCTAGAGATTATGCTGTCTTACTCATTCAGAGTTTCACAACTAGGGCCTGGGCACAAACCCAGGAGCAGATCTCTTCCTGGGATCCTGAATTGCTGAGTGTGGCTGGAGTTGCGTCCCAAGTAACTTCTACAACTCCTGAAACGTGCTTCTCCGCGGACAGAACCAGGCAGAATAGATTTCAGAGACCATTTTTCTTGGGCTGTGGATTCAACTTGGGATACCATTTTTATGTCTGCCTTATCCCTGCCATCCTGTTTTACATTCATGAATATTATTTGAGTAGTGTGGATTAAACAAAGCTTTAAATGTTTTTATATTGGACTTTCGTAACGTTTCATAGAACAGAGAAAATCTGGTCTGTACATTGTTCCGCTTTAGTGGTCACACAGAGACAAGCTGTCTGTGTTATCATGGGCATCTTTATAGCAAAACTGTGCAAAGTACCTATTAAAATATTGCAACTTCTGTGAACCTCTCAGGGCCTAAGATCTCTTCCTAAATTCAGTGTCAGTTGACATGTGATGTAAGGGCTCTGAGTTTGAAAAATAAAAAGGCAAAAGCTTTGGCCTTATTTCAAAGGACTCCCAAGCTGTAGCTTGCAGCTTGGCATGGCCGTGATGCAAATGTGACTCAAGTTTGGCTCCATCAGTGGAAAATTTGGATACCTTCCAACAGGGATCTCAGATCTGAACAGCATTTCAGTGTGCTAAACCACTGTTTGTATTTAATACTAAAACTGAACAAGATCTGAAACTCTTTCAAAGCTTAAACTCATGTTTTGCTCATCTAATAAGTAATTAAAGATAGGATGCAATTAACAGTTCAGACTGGGTTTCCTGAGGTTACGCTGTGTTCATAACTGCCACTAATTAGAGCTTAGTCTGATTACTTATTTGTTCTGTAGTATCATTTAGAAGCCACAGTTTTTGATCGTGTATATATAGTATGTACACCAATATGAGACAGTTTGCACTTGCTCCAATGATCTTTAAGTCTAACGTGTTTGTAGTGGGCTTGACACCCATTTTGTAACGTAGGCCTGGTTTCCCTGGATGTATTAGCCAAGATACAGTGCAATGGCAGATGAACGATGATAAAGACCAAAGTATGTCTCAAGTCAAGGCAACTTATTACGCTAGCATGATAGAGTCCTTTTAAGTTCCTCACTTTTACGATCAGGTGCTTGTTAAGAGTTGTGTTAGTCAAGGAGCAACAGTCAGCATGAATGCTAAGTGAGGGCTGTAATCACACTTTGGGTTCCGTAAGAAAGCCACTACTGCGCCCTTGCAGAGCACCGCTTGTTACTCGGATGGATAGTGCAATAGAAATTGTATGTGCTACTGTGGTGTTTTATCAGACTTTATTGACAAAGCCTATATTATACCAGAGAGCGTTGTCTTTGTGTTTCGCACCAAGGTTAGAAGAAGTCTTGATTTTATTTTAGATTTAATTCAGAGGAAAAAAAATGGGCAATGGCTTCTATTTTGCTTTACAGAATTGAGTGGAAAAAAAAACACACAGCATAAAGCACAGCACACAGTAAAGCATAGCATCAGCCTTGAAACATTGTCCAGATAAGTTACCCGTCTACGCTAAAAACTTCTGCTGTTTCATTCTTGCAGTGATACAGAGACAATTCCTGGTTATCTTAATCGTCCACTGTAAATAAAGAGGATAGTATTACATATGCTCCCTCCCACTTTCTCTCACTCACAGTGCCTAGCCACATGCACATAGCCAGATAAATGACGTAGCCCTTGGAAGCAAAGGCAAGTTGTGTTTCTGAGCTTCACTACATTGGTTTGTCCTACGTTAAACCTTACAAATCCAAAAATCTGTGCAAGATGCTGAGCAGCTGATAATTCACCTTCTGGAGTTTGACATGGCAATTCTACTGTTTTCCAGCTGTCTGTCGGTTCCCATGTCAGAATGGTGGAGTATGTGAACGACCAAACGCGTGCTCATGTCCAGATGGCTGGATGGGTCGTCTCTGTGAAGAGCGTATGTATATCTTCTCTAGGTGTAGTTTTAAGGATGTTTTAAGTAAGACAGGTGAATTTACTATAGTGAACCTGATGGGAAAATTAAAGGCATAAAAGCCTAAAAGCTTTAAAGCCGTAACTTTTCTGCTTCGCGAATTAGAGAGAACAGAAAGGACTGACTAATGGATTGCTTATTCCTAAATAAATGACCATCCCCTGATATCTCCATGGCAAAACAAACACTTCTTTAACTGATGAGATTTCACTTGCAGCTATTCTTTCACTGTCTATGAAGAAAAGCTGGCTTCAGTCCTCCTAAACCTATTTCTAATGACAAGACATGGTAATTTGGGGAAAGAATTGGGGTTAGAGCAGGAAGAGATGTGAGGGTGCTGCTGGTAGCTGTATTTTTTTTCTTGTCTTCCTTTGTATCAGTCTATAATTATGAACCTGATCAATTCATGCTCAAATAATACAGCTGCAGCATCTTTTCCATCCTGCCTCTCCTGATCTGTGTAGCTGTACCCCTTAAACGATGGGCTGGCTTTAGTTTTCTCTATCTGTGTAGTTAGAGAACTGGATCTGTTCTGGTTGAGAAGAGCCAAATCTGACCTTCAGGTCTGTAGAGATTCCCTGGGTGCCACTGAGAGGCCAGTTTGCGCTATATTTCCCATTTCCCCAATGGTGATCTTAACAGAAGGGATTGGTAAGGATTATGCCTGGCAGTACTCCTGCACAAGATACCTTGTGACTGTACAGGCGTTTAGGCATGGGTCTACATGAATAGAAAGGAGAGTCTTCTTACTGCATTTAGTACTCAGTATGGCCCTGACCCAAAGCTTTAGAGTGCCGAAGGACACCTGTAGCTGACATGATGGCACTGACCCTGGTTCTGAGTGTAAATGGAGATATACAGAAAGAAGTGACACTTCTTCCTATAGCGAATGGAGAGAAATGTGGTTCAAGCATTTCGGTAGGTAGATATATCACATCTTAATATGATCCTCTAAATGTACCTCTGCAGCTTTCAAGCTTGCTCTAGAGCAGTGCCTATTCAGTGTGACACAGAAAAAAACTATATTTCCAGAACAAGAAGAGGTTTAGCAAGTTGATATTTTGGCCTTCTTCTGTTGTAGGAATTCCAGCTGTGTCATGCCTTCACACAGCCCCTCTTTCACTTTTCCTATGTCTGTCCATTCCACCGTAGCCAAACACGCAAGCTCCGTCCTTTATGTTTCGCAGGTTCAGCAAGAGGGGAGCGAGCACAGTATCTGGCAGGACTGTGTTTGGTATGCCACAACTGATTGCCTTGCTTTACCCTTAATAGCGATACCTAATGCATTCTTCAGAACCAGAGGACAAAGTGTATGCCCTCAGTCATTTTGATCTGTCATCCCCATTCAGATCCTGTCTTCCTGTATGAAAAAAAAGGAACAGACAGCTGACTAGCTTGATTACACTTCATACAGATACAGCCACTGTCACTCCATATTTTCTTTCATTTGGCATAGGTAGTAAGGAGAGGGGAAAGGGCTTCACACAGCTAGTTAGCCCCACCTCCTTTTGAAGTGTTGTTTGTCAAGTAAGATGCACCAGTGAACAGAAAAGATAGGTCTAGCTTTCTTTGGTATTGAGTGTCTGCTCTGGAAGCCAAATGGATTTTTGAGTACCAGCACGGAGCACTGATCTCTCAGGGTCTTGCCACAGATGAGGCCACAGAGCTCTGACAGGATTCAGTTACCTGACAGTTCGCAGTACATTTCACAGATAACAAGACAATCTCAGCTTCCTGAGACAGACCTGGTCACTCTTAAAAATGTGCAGAACCCTACTGATTTAATGATAGAGACAATAGTAATTCTTGGTGATATGGATTAGTCCTGGAAGCTCTTGGAAGGTAACAATCCTCTCTTATCCAAGCTGGCTGCAATTGCTCAGCTTGATCTTTGCTGTGAAGTGGAAGAGCCTCTGCACCAGTCTCCATCCACCCTCTCAGAATGAAACTCCAGTGGAAGTTCCACATAAGGGTCCAAATTTGAGACCTAGCTCAACTCATCTTTCTAGTAGTGCACGCTCACATAAGCACGCCTTTCAGTCAGTGTAGTGGGAGGAATAACTTTGGGGAGTTACTCAGGAAGTTACGAACAACGGTTTGCAAATTGGACCGTTCCTGCAGACAAGCTAGCAGTAGCAGCATAGGTCGATTGCTGCTGAGTCTAGAGATCATCAGCTGCTTGGCATCTCTCTGCTTTGTTTGTTCTCCAAAGCTTCCAGGCACAGTCAACCTGTTGCACCCCAAATGCCTACTTTGCTGCAGCTGACTTTAACTGGAAGGCTTGTAGTGTCACCTGTCTCAGCATGTTTTCACTGGCACAGAACAAGTGATTTTCTAAGGGTATTGCATAATTTCCTTGTTTTGAATGTTACATTGGGGGAATTCTGTTAAGTTTGTGATTAAAGCATGGTTCTCTCACAGAAGTAAACATTGTTTATAGATACTACATCGGAGAAACAAGCAAGCAGCCTTTGCTCCTCCCTGAGTGAGCGCAGGGCCTTTGGTCAGCTAAAGGACTCACGCAATTGTTCCAGTCTGCCCGTTTGTTTGTCCTCATTCTTCCTTCTTTCTGGCTCATGGTAGTCACAGCTTATGCCTTATGGATCGTTCCTACTCAACTCTGCTGATACGGCATGCGAACCCTTGTTGGGGGGCAGGGGCTGGAGCTTCTCATTAAACAAAAGTGCCATTCTCACTTGTGTGTTTAATTATTTGCTTTCACAGGTGATAATTCTTTTAATTGCTTTTCTTCTCCTCTCCTTAGCAATATGCATCCTGCCATGTCTCAACGGAGGTCACTGTGTGGCCCCTTACCAGTGTGACTGCTCCCCTGGATGGACTGGATCACGCTGCCATATCGGTAAAACTCCTTTCACCTGCCTCTTTCCTCATCTTTTGTGACTGTCATCAACCAACACCTAGCACAGTTCACTAAGGGCTCTATAGTAAATACTGAGCCTCTCACAGGAAACCCTAGCCCAGCAATAACATTCCTAGAGGATTTGCTGTCCCCAGCTGCACGCTATTTTCAGAATATTTTTCTTGTTCATCATGAGTCTTAATGATCCTCAGAACAGCTTGCTCCCAGAAAGGACAGTAAGCATTAACTAGAGAACTTTCCAGAAAATGTAGTGCTCAGGAGAGATTTCCGAGGTAAAAAAATAAAACAAGACTCCCAAGAAGGATTAGAATGTCTCTCATTTCTAGCTTCAGCACACACAGTTCACCATTAAACTGATAAGGGAGCTGCAGGTACCTCAGAGGTTATTCACCACATAGCTGTCTCATGTGGGGAATTTCTGCAAAGGATTGCTCAACTCAGTACCTGAGTCCTGAGCCAGGTAAGAGGGCAGAGCAAAGCACGGGTATGTTTTTAAGATGGTTCAATTAAATGGCTTATTCTGACCTCTCTGAACAAACTTAATGCACACTGCATTTTAATAGACCTCTTACGTGCACCTGTGTGAGGTTTGAGGGCATGCAACACATCAAGATAGTGGTGGGGAGTAATCCAGGGCTTCAGACCTGTGCCCTGGCAAGCCAGCTTGTGTTAGGTGAAGCTAAATTGAAACTAGGGGCAATATTTGAACCCATATATGACAGGCTTAGTTCCACATCAAGACTGAGCACAAGCCAGTGTTTGGGAGGGTTGTCCCTGTGGAAGTAGCCGATAAAATCCATAGAAATTGAGTGATCACTGAAACGTTTTTTAGTCATGAAAACGTCTAGAAATTATTTTTACAAATAAATATTATTATATAGCCTGTTCACTCTATTTTTATTGTTCAGGCATACCTTAACTGACTGCTAACAACGCTTTAAGGTGAAGGCCTCATTTTGCCTTCCTGAAAGTCTTTGGAGGGGCTAACAGGCTGAATTGTAGGAGGAATTTGTGCTACTGTTAATGAATGTTGACATTTCTTGCTTATCTGATAAGTATAGTAAAATAGTGAGTCTGGGGAATAAGCTCTGTGATACGGTACAAATCCAACCATCCCTCTGTGAATTGGAATCTCAAAGTGAATATTTTACCTGAGAACTACTGTTCTTCGAAGAGACACTTCCCTAGCACAGCACACAGCATTTCCTCTGATAGTTCACAAACTTTGCAGCTGTAACAGCCTATGTGGCTGAGAAGGATAAATGGCTTTTCACTTTTGGGCCAGCAGTTCAAATCTGTCCAGGCTGACTTGGTCTTCAGCAGCTCCAGAGAGAATTCTAGTGGGCGACTGCATTTGTACCAAAGTCCTTTCATAAAAGTTCATAAGCAATGTGTATGAAGTTACTAAACCACTTCTTGCTTTACCACTGATCCTGACATTTTGCCATGACAGAACAAAATGAGATGAGAAATATTTGAATTGCTGCTGGTCTCACTACAATAATTATGTGCATAAAGAAAGAGCTAAAAATGTTTCATTCACATGTTTCATTCCACGTTCAGAAGTCGTTTTCAGAATGTGACAATTAATTTTACAGGACTCGTCCATCTCTGTAACATTCTGCCATTATCACCTTATATTTTGACCTAAAGGAATTCCATTTTAATCAGAGTTTCCAGTGATGAGTAGCCCTTGATATTATCCAGTTTTTCTTCACTGATGTCTTTAGGTCCATCCTCTAGATATGGAGTTATCTTATTAAGAAACTTAATATTTTTCAGCTGTCCTGTTCTGTAAATGTCTATAAATGTTGATGGGGCTCATTAAGTGAGTTTCTGAAGCTGTTCAGTAAATCGCATGGTAGTTTTATCTCCTAGTCCCAAAATTGATAGGGAAGACTTGAAGCTTTGTCTTTTTCTATTTAGTTGCCTGGTATCTTTAGAGTTGGTGATTGCACACAAGCAGCTGTAACTGTTTCACAACTCACTCTGTGGTTTTCTATCAGGCAGGCTAGTATTTATTCTCTGAATCAAATGCCCTGTCCTCTAATCATACTTCTCAAGGATACGTAGCATCTTTCAGGGACTTGCTGTCATTTTCAGCTTCCTTTCCTTGTCCCTCTACAGGTGCCATTGTGTAAAGCCTTATACCTTGTCTGCTGTTGATCTGTAAATGCTTTTCGATTTTGATTTTGTAAATGCTCTAAGGGCATTTGAGTCTTTGACTTTCACTGTTCCGCTTCTTTCTAGACTTCTTACCACGTCTGGTTTCTGCTTCTCTCAACTCAATTCTGGCTGTTGTTTAGGTGTAGCATTTCTTTCAAATAAACATCTGCATTTTTTCTCTAGAAATGAAGCCTGTTCTCCTGCTGATCTTCTGACTCTTATCCTCCTCCTGCTTCTGTTTGCATTCCTTCTTCTGCCTCAGTCTGGAGCAAAAAAAACCCCAATGTTTTTAAAGCAGCATAAGACAATAATTGGCTGTTTCATGCAGCTCGTATACTACAGCAGAAGTAGTACAGGAGGTTGAATCACTTTCAGAAGAGGTGTATTGTCTAAAGCTGCCCTTTCCAGAGCAAACCATTTTCTACAACAGACTCAAAGTTTATGTTTATGCTGTAGTTTGGAGAGTGCCTCACTTGTAACAGAATACCATAGGCTGGATTTTCAGGACCTTGTTTTTTAATCAGCTTGTCCTGGGTCTGGTCATTAATACAACTGTCTGTGTGTGTGTGTGTGTGTGTGTCTATTTGCGTGCAGCTGTTTGCCAGTCACCTTGCTTAAATGGTGGGAAGTGCATACGGCCAAATCGATGCTATTGTCCCTCATCATGGACTGGACACGACTGCTCTAGGTAAGCGTTATTGGCTAGGTTGAGTCACAACCTGTAATTCTGTAAAAGGTGCAGTCGATTTTGCAGAAGAGCATCTCTAGATCCTCTTAATCAGTGATCACTGAACTGGCCATGATTTATGAGCAATCTGGAAGACCTTAGAGAGTGATCGGCACAATGATTGACAAACATATAGAAATTCATCAAAATGCTTCACTCACATGTGAGCAAGCAGGCAAACCTGCAAGGTTTAGCCTAGTTTTTAGTGATGAAAATGGAAGTGCTTGTTGTAATATGATATAAGATGTTTTGAAAATCTGGGTGGCCTACTGAGTGCAAGCAGTGTTCATTTTGAACTGTATATACCCCAGCTGGGTCCAGGTCTTTCGAGACAAGGACCATGCAACAGACGTTATAAATAACAAAAGTTCTACTTGTACCTACTGTTGAGTGGTGTAAGTATTTCAAGAGTACAATACAGTGCCTCCAAGTCAAGTCCAATTCAAATCATTTGACGGTGCCATCCCTGTATCAGGAGCCCCAAAAGGACTGGGCTTGCCTCTTGTTCATGCGTGCCCTTTCTTACTGGGTTTTACCAGTACATGTGTTTTGGTTTGCTGATTCATTTCTCGTAAGGCCAATGGAGGAGATGGTGAAGGAGAAAAAGCGAGTCCCATCACAATATGCAGGACCATTTAAAAGTTGTTCTCTTCCTTTTCGCTTTGTTGTCTTAAAGATGACTTGTAAAGTTCAGTTGTCTGGCTTCCAGGAGAGCCAGAATAGGCCCCAGTTTCTTTGGAGAGCTGTTTGGTTTCATAATGCCATTAGGAGTAATTTACAGCCCTGAAGAAGGAAGATAGGTGGAACTGTAATTATTGTTGTTGTGGTCAGGAATCAAATACATTAAGAAAACATGCAGAATGAGTTTCCCTGCTCACCTCCGTAAAATTGTAATGAAACCCACAGGTACCAAAAATATTAATACCTCAACCCACACAAGACTCCTACTGCACACATTGGCCACTCTCCTGGAGAGCTAAATAAATAACAGCTGAACATTAATGTTTTTCTCCAAGACGTGTACAAATCCAATGCCAGTGAACAGTTTTTATTCCGCTTTCTGGACGAATGGAGGGAAAGGGGAATGGAAAAAAAGCCATGAGATCTGTTCTGTATTTTGTTAAACTTTGGCCTCACCCTGCCCTGTGGCTCTTTATGGGGTCCAATACTATGCCTAGGGCCCCAAAACAGTACAGGCAGAGTAGGCGTTACTGAGAGTGATTTATAATGGGAAATTCAACGGGCCAAATCAGCATCCGGGATTAGACTAGCTCTAAACCACCCTGATGAGTAATGATTTACATTAAATGCCATCTCTCTCTCTCTCTTTCTTTCTCTCTCTCTCTCTCTTTCTCTTTCTTTCTCCCTCCTGCTGTCAGCACGCTGTTGTGTGCTGTGGGGCTATAATCCTTGGTCTGCTTTTAGATAGCATCCCCATGTGCTGCCCTCTTGATCTTGCTCTGCATGTTCAGTACAGCACTAATTTTATTTTGTTTGTTTGTTGACACAGGAAACGGAAGGCTGGATTCTATCCCTTTTAACATCAGAGCAACGATTTCACATCCAGAAATCTTTCTTCAGCCTAGGCACCAGGGCTTGGAATCGAATGCATTGTAAATCAAATCCATTACTTCCCTTCCCCCCGCCCAGCTCCATTTTTTTTATATTTTGTTCTGTGATATATTTTCCCTGAACCTTTCCATTTTTAAAGAAATCCTCTGTATTTTTCATTTACAAAAGTATATCACATTTATGCTGCTACACACACACCGTACACACATACACTATACAAATGTAAACATTCCTACTGCCCACTGAGGAAGTAGTTGCGTGCAGTGAAGTCCTTCCCATTTCTTACCTACAGTCAGCTGAGTGAAACGTACTATATTGTCAGTCGTGATCAAACAGAAGGTGGCAGTTCTGCTTACCATCTGCCAAAGCACACTGCAGTCCAGCAGTTCGACTGTAAAGAGTTACTGAAGGCTAACTGAGCCACTAATCTTTGCATTGGGCCTCTTTCTGAACTCTTGTTGACCTACAGCAAGAGGTACATCTGATAAAGTCCGTTGTGTAACCGTAGTTTCAGATAGACTTAGAAGAAGAATCAGTAACGTTTACTAAGTGACACTAATTTCACTGGAAGGTGGCTTAATGAAAGGCATTGGCAAGAATTTTACCTGGGGTTTATTGGTAAAATACCCAAAAACGTGGAAGAGATGACAGAACAGTGTGTCATTCAGAGAACGACAGACCAAGCATAACCGACAGCGGCCCTTGAGGCTTTTTGACTTGCCGGCAGTTTGGGGTTAGCTCTATTGCTGGGTAATGCAGGAGCCAGCAGTGGAAAACCGTCAGACCACTGAAACTGATGCTTCGCAGTTACTACGGGAGTAACTACCACCTGCCTGTAACCCGCATCCCTTCCCTGTGTACGATATGGCATAAATGTCTAGCAGCTGTCTGACATTTGACGTGGGTTTAGGATCCCAAAGATTGGCCCCGAAAAAGGGGGAGAAGGCACCCCTTAGGTTTACCGGTGAAACTTTGCCATTTCTTTACAGAGCGGTGGTATTTACACTGTGCAGAACCCTCAGAAAACTGGAAAAGGCCTCTCCTGAGGGCACACACAGGCACAAACGTCCTGCTGAGTAAGGAGTGCGGAGAGCACATGCAGCAGTCAGATTTCTCTTTCTCACAATGTTGATCCAAATTGCATCTGAGAATAACGCATGCTTGAGCGCCCTCATCAAGTCATGCGCTAATGAACCGAGGTACTAAGATGTACCTACTGTTAAGCAAAAATTAGAGGGTGGAAATCACATGCATGTGTTGAGGACAAATGTGTGGTAATTAGCATCAGTTAGCAAAGTCTGATCTGTGAGGGTTGTTAGACTGAGAACCTGAGAGTCATCCATCAGAAGCTCCGTTCTTCCCAGTAGTAATAGAAAAGCATGAATGGCATGCAGCCCTAGGAAAGAAGCAGGAAAAATATATTTATCTTCTGCAGCCTTGCTGCTTAATTACCTTTCAGTAAGGTAATTAAGGTTCCGAGTGCACACACCATGCCCCCTGCTTTATAAATTTACCTTCCTTGTATAAGTGCATGAACTTGGGCAGAACTGTCGTATGACACAAAGAGGAGCTAATAATTATGAGAAAAGGACACCAGGAAATATTCACACATAACTGTTGGCTGTTAATGCAAGACCAAAAATGGAGAAGAAAAAGACAAATGAAATTGTGAGCCAGTAAGAGCTTTCAGTCAACAGCTAATTTAAAAAAAAAGTATAGATCAAGAGTATAAATTGTTAAGCAACCAGCTTAATTTGAATGCAGAGTCCTTCAAGAAGTTAAAAAGAGTTATCATTTCAGCTCTCACAAACTGCTTTTTCCTATAGTCAGCTAGCACAGAGCAACCATCTTCTGACTCCGAGCTCCACAGCCATTGATGTTGACAGCGTTGATTGAAGTGTTCAGTAAAGAATATCCATGTTTCAACCCATAGCCACCACCATCTGTGGGCACTTTGTTCCTTGACCTCCTTGCTGCCATAGGCAGTGTTTGAATGGAAACTGCAATGAGCAACGTGGGAGCCCTCAAGCGAAAGAGTACAATGATGGCAGAAGTAGATCTTTCTTTGTATGTCACTCTCATGTTTTAAAAAGTAAATGGTCCCTTTTCTAGTGTACTTGTCTGGTGTGTGTATTGCGTTGCTCTGACTCTGCCCTGGTGTCCCCCAGAGCAGAACCGCATTGGTTAGGAAAGTGCTTAGAGCTGGCAGGACGTTTCTGGAGAGGAGTATTTTGGGGCTCACGGCTGGCTTTTAGCACTCTAGCTTCACACTAGTGAACTTATATAATACATGAAGTCCCAGGATTAACCCAGTCAACATGTTTCATAATCAGATGTGGTAGTAGGACAGAGTAGGTGACGTTAGAGGCTTTTATATTAATGCTGTTGATGAGGTTTTGATACGTGCAGGAACATTTCCCCTCCCCTCCCAATACTGTATTGTCATTTATGTCACTGCTTGTTGTGTGTTTTAAACAACTTCTGTGTGATGCACTTTACACTGTAAATAAAGTTGCACCCTGTTTAGTACACATAGAGGCAACAGTGCACTCTTTTTCGTAATGCCTACAAACAAATTCTCATCTCTGCCTACCCTTTGTAACCTGCTGGGTAAGTCTGCCTGTTAGGGAAGTGGATATCCAGTCAAGGGAAAAGATAAAATGATCAACAAGCAGCTTAAAAGGATGACTACTCCAGGTCTGGTAAAAATGCAGTTAGCATATATTTTGTCAAATTCCTTCTGCTGATGAGCTGTATATTAAAACCTTTAAGGACCAAATTTATCACTGGCACGCACACATGCATTAAAGCCTGCCTCACTCACTGCTTACGCCAGATGGAGATGTGGCTTGTTTTACTCTGCGCTAACAGGGGAGTTTTTAAAGCTGTAGAGATTGCCATGTTCAGAGGGAATTGGCTGAAAGATGTACTATAACAGAAGGAAAACTTCATAATCCAAACCCCACCCCTCCAAGCAAGGAAAATATATGACATAGCAGGCGAATTACTGGGGGGAGGTTTAAGTAATGTTAGTAACCCTTTCAATATTTTGATATTAAGCAAAATGGTAGCACTGCTGTTCACCACTTCTTCTATTCCTGTTTGTGCTGTGTATAGGACTATTTGGTACAAGCAGTTGCATGGAAACCAGTAGGAGCACTGCCAAGGCTGTTTTTTGTTTTTTTTTTAAGCCATCATCACCACTGCTGTAATCCTGCAGCTGTCAAGATGGGGGACAATGTCGTTGGCTTCAGTAGGAGCACTGAGAAATCTCCACTTGCGATGGGGTTTCTTACTGCAAGTGGACATTTATGAGCATGAGAGGCAGTGTATGTTTCAAAGCCTTCCCCTAAGCCACCAGCCAAGAGGAGGCGCGAAGCTGAAGTCGTTGCTGTCAGCAAAGCCCTGAAATTTGATGTGCATCTGATAGAAAAGACACAAATGTGCATCTAACAGTAATCCTCCCAATACTGCTAGTAATCCTGAGAAGGAACAGTAGTGCATGGACTCTGATTTTGTGTGTACTGTAGAAATATAGGGTACTGCCTTCTTTAAATGAAGTGTGGTTAAAATGAGTTTTTTTTCCCTGACCAAATCCTCTTCACCATAAAAATCGAGCAGCCTAAATTGTTGAAGGCAGTCTTTGCTGACACCTATGTCTTTCTGCTCTTGGAAATGCAGTAGGAAGGGTACCAGTGTCATCTCCAGTCCCACAGAAGCACTGGATAGGGTTAGTGCATGCCAGCAGTTGTCACTGTAAAGAGTTACCTTTTTCCTCAAGGCCAGCCTTGAGGAAAAGTGAGCTCTTTTGCAGCTTGTGTAGGAACAGTGCGTGCATCTCAGACTGGTTTTTGAGTGGTTTGGATCCTCACTGTGGGAAGGATCCCTCCCGTTTTTACTGCACTGCAGATGGTTTCTGGGGGAACATACCCTGACTATGCATTTCCAGCAGAGACAGACTGACAGGCTAAATGTAATATGCAGCAGCATTATTGATTTATTTCTCTCCATTTATCCACTCATGCACATGAAGCAGAGCATTTCTTTAAGTATCCATCCAATTTACCACAAGCTCCTCTCCCAGGACTTAGGCTGGATTTCCATTACCCTGGCTTTCTAGACTGACATATTGCTATTCCCTGCCAGGTCATGACATATTGCCAAATGCAGGTCATGCATGCTTGCCAATTTTCCCAGCCGAGCTCAAAGCAGTATAACGGCTAATGCTCTTCACCTGCTCTTTAGTGCAGGTTTGGTTCATAGTGCCTGACCTTGCTCACAAGAAAACGGTGGGAGCAGCTGGGTTGTGCAGACAGACTGTACAGGAGACACCGTGGCCTAGTGGCACTGAGTTTCTCCCTGCCAGTGGTAGGCTGTGTCACCACAAGCACAGCACTTCAAGTCTTCCCACTTTACAGAAAAGGTGAGCCCTTCCTTCTCCATCAAAGTGCTACAGATGAAAGAAGACAGATGAGAATTACGTGTTATTATCACCATTGCTAATGGTAGCCCTCCTATAGAGCCTTCAGAGGAATATGAAAGCCTTCAGTGAAGGAACATTTTCCCATGCGACATAAAAGGTCATTTCTCAGTTGCAGACTTGATAGTGAGATTGTGTCCCTGATCATTGGATCAAAGCATAGAGGAGAGGAAACAACTCTGTTACCTGAACTTCTTGCCATAGAGCCTGGGGGCAGAAAGGGCACAATAACCTTAGAGCAACTCGTGTTTATATGTCATATGTATATTTCATTACTAATCCTGTGTACTGGTACTAACCTTAATCTTCCTAGTCTAACTTTTTTGCAGTAAATCATCTTCCTCCTTTTCACTGTAGTTTGCTAGCAAGATCTGCTGAGCAGATCCTCCTGGAGCTTCGGGTCTCCTCTTTGTGTCCAGAAACTTTGAGGCTGTGACAACATGAGCCACCCCAGACCAACACCATCTAATGCAGATGCTGTAGACATGGCAAGGGCCAAAACCGGACACTGCAAGGGAAGAAAGGGTGGCACTATGACACACAGCTTTCTGGCAGAAAATGAGAAATGTTACTTCCCTGTTGTAGGCAAGGAACCTGAGGCACAGAGCAGTGGAGCAATTTTGTTCCCCCATCATGTAGCAGGCCAGTAGCTTGGTGAGAACTGATATTCAGGCACTCTGCATTGCAGCCCAGTGGTCTTCTCTCCTTAGTCACACTTTTATACTGTGCTTCATCCCAGCAGCCATAAGTAAAATTAGCTATTTCCAGTGTGCAAACCTTGCAGAAAAGAACAGGCAGGTCTGATTTGCGCTAGTCCTGAGCTACAAGCCAGTCCCTGCCCCTCAGCAGACTGTCCAAAAGAAAGGGAGCAAGCAAGTGTGAAAGCCCTGGAGAAGGTAGGAGTGCCCAGCTCACAGCAGCCAAAGTTGAGAAGCAGGCAGGTGGGAAAGGGTGCTCTGAACGCAGCAGCCCTGATCACTGAGGGCCTCACCGTTTGCAGCTGGTGAATTCTCCCAGTGCTCCCTCTGCTTTTGCCCAGGAATCAGTAGCTCCTTTACTTTGGGGAAATATGCCTGTTCATCTGCCAGAAGTGACAAAGAGCATGGTGGCACCCAGTCCCTCTCTTGTTCTGCAAACATAATACAGGGCCTTCCTGTTCTTACTCTTACCTTCACCTACCTTTCCTCTCCTAGCTCTCTCTTCTGTAATGTGTTTTGGTTAGTTTTTATTATGTCCATAGTACCTTCTAGCACTGTCAGAAAAGGGTCGTTGTACTTTTTGCAGATAACTCAGAAGTGGTCAAATTCATTCAACAATAAAACCAGCAGCCTGAGCCTCGCTGGTAACAATTCTCAGAAAAGCAGAGACCTCAAAGTGGAAATAGTGATTAAGCTGTAACAGCAAGTATGTACCTGCTCATGAGGGAGCCTCTGCAAAGCACAGTTACAGTCCTGTGGACTCCTCTGATTGCTGTCACTTCGCAGTTTCTTCATCTTGAGCTGATCAGCCATGCCTCTCCTTTTACAAATTTAGGTCCCTGGTGTGGCTCACACTTTCAGGCACATGTATTGCTGCACCTCTGAGCACTGTGCCTCTGCTTGGTCAATATGGCCATGAGCTAGATCCTAAGCTGATGCAAGTGAGCATAGGAGTCCAGGGAAGTGCAGAGGATGTGTCATCTGCTTCACCTGCAGTGGTGAAAGAGCATGTATAGAAGGCAAGTCTCAAATACTGTGGCAAGGGGATTAAAAAGGGAATCATTGCTCTTTATTATTTCTACAGAGCTACAATGCAGACTTGGGGCTTCTAAGCCACAGAGTACTAAAGAGGTTATCTGCACCCCTAGTGCAAAGGTGTCAGGAGGGGAAAAGGCTCTGTGAGAAAACAGCTGAGGCCATCAGTGGTAGTGCAGCCACTAGGGAAGCGGGGAGGAGGAGGTGAGCCTGCCTGCGACCACAGCTTCCTCAGGGTACAGAGGGAATTCAAACCAAGCCCTTTCCAGTGCTGAGGGCAGAAATGGGCTTGCATGGGATTGCGTTCCTGGGCTTTCCCGATGTCAGCTGAGACACCAAGCTGTGGTCCTCCAGCCAGGCCATCCCTTCTCCCAAAGCACCTTGCCAAAGGCTCGGTCCTGTCTGAGGAAAGCCAGGCTGCGTAGCTGTCTCCCCCTGAGCTGGGGAAGTACCTTTTTCCTGAATGAAGGGAAGCAAGCACCCTTTGGCTGAGAAAGTCAGAACCTTCTCTGGCTCCACCAGCTGTCTTTTCTCCCTGGGAGAAGAGCCGTGGAGCAGGTGAGGCTGGGTCCATATGCCAATTAACGAGCACAGGACACCAGGACAGACTGTCCTCCCGCAGGGCCCTGGGAGAGGGATGCCGGCAAAAGTAGCCAGAGCCATTACTGAACCTGTCAAGCAGGAGCAGCTTTGCAGCTGCGCAGGGCTGGGAGGCGCCCAGACACATCCCCAGGCCTGTCTCATCTGGCACGGAGCACTTTGGGGAATTCTGGCAGGGTGACCACCCTATAAACACCCCTTGCTGAAAAAACACGGATGGCAAAATTGGAGGCCGGGTCTCTGCATGTCTGCATGGAAAGACCAGGACAGGAACCTCAATAAAACTGCCATTCAAAAAGGACG